GTCTTTGTATGATGGAGTATTACCAGGACCCTTCACTGGTGACACCTGAACTCCATCACTTGGATGGGGATACACATATTGTATTTCTGCCCATATAGTGTGCCTAGTTTTTGGTTCATTCACAGGTCTAAAATGAACTTTAGACACTCGAAAGATAAGCATTGGAATATGGCTAACCTGCCTGGATCATTACTTGGGTTCAGCCAGCCTATCCACTCACCCCGCCCTACACTTTAACCACAAATTTCTGGCATTTTTATGTTGAAGAACACCTTATCCTAGACCACGGATTTTTCCAGTAAGAAATTCCAAACTCCACCCACCTAAGTCAAACCGCGTCCCCCGATTATCCAGAAGTAAATGTCCCATCTTGTCCCTTGTCAACCCCCTCTGGAGTCTACAGGATTCCCACCGAGACACTTCTACTCAATCTTACTGCAAGGGACCACTGAAAAAAAAATGATTTGAGATCTGAAATAGGATACATCGATCATCACTGACAGATTTTACTTGTTTCCGTAATAGAATTATTTTCTCACAGTAACCTATAGAAACTGGCCCTGAATTCCTATCTAGTGCCAATACGGGCAGAATACGACCTACCGCCAGGTGTTACCAAAACTCATACCTCCACCAGACAAACGCCAAAGATTCATTTGCTGCTACAAACCCCCTGAGTTCTCTGTGTTCTTTATATCGGGGAGATGAAACTGAAGCTGAGTCCACTCAACAATATTCTAAAATGACCACATGACCGAAGCCAATGATGCATTTTAAAAGCTACAACTTTCTGCTGAAACGAAATAAAAAAAATGATGTACTCATGACGCTAATTGCCAGGCACATGTGGAAGAAGGTGAATTGTTGCTCCTGTGTGTGGTCACTCTCAGGGGCGGACTGACAACTCATGGGGCCCCCGGGCAATAGGGGATCATAGGGCCCCTGTGTCCTCACCCACACTCAAACCACACCCAAAAAAGCCTATGAAAGGTACCAGGGGCATATCATGGGGCCCCCTACTGACCCCGGGCCTGGGTTTCTGAATGGTCAGTCCACCCCTGGTCACTCTGCATACGTAGCATCACAGCTGAGAAAACAAGAGAAACCCTCAGACCCCAGCAATTCTAATGGCTGATTATTTAAAAAAATATCTTGCTTTCAAGTAAAGCTGGCGTTACTAAGTTCTGCTTTTTCCATATTGGGAGCTCAAAAGATGACAATTCGGGACCTCGGAAGAAAAAAAAAAAAAAAAAAAAAACACGACGTACATACAATCATTTATATATTAACCCCGATGCATATCTCATTTCAAACCATCTTCTATGCATAATGTACATTATATCACCCATAGGTACCTTTATATAGTCTCTATAATATAGATATATATTAAAAACTCTGATTTGGATATTTAACAAAATTCATTATTTAAGGGTATATTTTATAAATATATTAGAGGTTTTAATTGATTTTGATTGCTTACAACCAAGATATGAGATGAGGAACATAGCTTAACTGTCTTCTCCGAGTGGATACGACAAAATGGACGGCAGCCTTGCCTTAGTTAAGCCAATGTTTATATGAAACCTTTGACCTTAATAAAGGCCTTGTGAGTCATCTGCAACGGGAGCCTTACTCAGGGTTTATATAATATCCAATATCCTATCTTAACTGCTAGAAGGTGAGAACATGAAGCTTTTCTAATGGTCCCTAAAAAAAAAAAATATATATATATCTCGTCCTTATTAGTACCTATTTCCCATAGAAATGGGATCCTGACTAAAGCTCATAAACATACTGGAAACTCTGCTTCCAAGGTAATTATTTTAAACTGGTCTTCATCAAAGGGCCATGATCTTGTAGCATACGAAGTCAGGCCTCTATCTACTCTTCAACCACAAACATCACAATCTCTTGTAGTCTAGAAATAGTCAGAACTCCAACTCAATGTCCATAACAAACCTTAGGGTATTGTCCTTGGACAACTTCAACCATAAGCATGTCCATAACAAACCTTAGGGTATTGTCCTTGGACAACGCCAACCATAAGCATGTCCATAACAAACCTTAGGGTATTGTCCTTGGACAACTTCAACCATAAGCATGTCCATAACAAACCTTAGAGTATTGTCCTTGGACAACGCCAACCATAAGAATGTCCATAACAAACCTTAGGGTATTGTCCTTGGACAACTTCAACCATAAGCATGTCCATAGCAAACCTTAGGGTATTGTCCTTGGACAACGCCAACCATAAGAATGTCCATAACAAACCTTAGGGTATTGTCCTTGGACAACTTCAACCATAAGCATGTCCATAGCAAACCTTAGGGTATTGTCCTTGGACAACGCCAACCATAAGCATGTCCATAACAAACCTTAGGGTATTGTCCTTGGACAACGCCAACCATAAGCATGTCCATAACAAACCTTAGGGTATTGTCCTTGGACAACGCCAACCATAAGCATGTCCATAACAAACCTTAGGGTATTGTCCTTGGACAACTTCAACCATAAGCATGTCCATAGCAAACCTTAGGGTATTGTCCTTGGACAACGCCAACCATAAGAATGTCCATAACAAACCTTAGGGTATTGTCCTTGGACAACGCCAACCATAAGAATGTCCATAACAAACCTTAGGGTATTGTCCTTGGACAACGCCAACCATAAGCATGTCCATAACAAACCTTAGGGTATTGTCCTTGGACAACTTCAATCATAAGCATGTCCATAGCAAACCTTAGGGTATTGTCCTTGGACAATTTCCACCATAAGCAAGGTCAACAGTGTAGGCACTGCCTACTAGTCACTCCTCACACAAGACTGGAACACCATTTACTGGCTTTAGATGATAAAGGATACCCTCTGTTCACCGTCCAAAAAGAACTACCTTTATTTCCTCTACAAACTCTCAACAAGACCTTCGTAATCTACAAAAAGTCATGTCTTCAACTCGCTGCCTGTAGGGCATGTTTCTTAGACCACCTAAACCAATGTCCATAACAAGTTATTTTTATTGTCTTGAGGTGATGCCAGCTACCATTCACTCTTCATACAAGACTGGAATGTCACTTGCTGCCTTTAGAAATTAAGGATTTCTTCAAGTCACTGCGCAAAAAGAACTACCATTGTCTCTACAAGTCCTCTATAGTCTACAACAAGTCAGGTCTTCAACAGGATATCCGTAAGAGGTTTTCCATAGGAGTTCAGGAACTATCAAGCTCCTTTCATCTCTGTCCATAAAGGATGAAGACTTAATTAATGTTCATAAGATATCACCTTTACATAAAGTTCATCAAATATTTAAGGCTTTCTGTGTCCCTATTTCTAAAATGAATTCAGAAGATCTCAAAGAGGACTGTTGCTGAATGACCCATAAAAGATGGGCATCTTCTACTCACTGCCCAAAGAAAAATCCAAAACATCTCTTCACCCTTCATGCACCCAAGAGCTCTTCCACTATTCGCATGTACAAGGTCTTCTTCTCACCAATTGCATAAGATCAAGTCTGAGAACCTTGCAGTGCCACCTCAATTATACCAGTTTAGTCTTGGATCACCCCTGACACCTCATTATACAAGTATAATCTTGGATCCAGTATCCCCTGACCACCTCCATTATACCAAGTATAATTTTGGATCCAGTATCCCCTGACCACCTCAATTATACCAAGTATAATCTTGGATCCAGTATCTCCTGACCACCTCAATTATACCAGGTATAATCTTGGATCCAGTATCTCTGGACCATCTCATTATACCAGGTATAATCTAAGATCCAGTATCTCCTGACCACCTCAGGTATAATCTTGGATCCAGTTGACCACCTCAATTATACCAAGATAATCTTGGATCAGTATCCCCTGACCACCTCATTATACCAGGTATAATTTTGGATCCAGTATCTCCTGACCACCTCATTATACCAGGTATAATCTAGTATCCAGTATCTCCTGACCACCTCATTATACCAGGTATAATCTAGGATCCGGTATCTCCTGACCACCTCAGGTATAATCTTGGATCCAGCATCTCCTTACCCTCAACTATACCAGATATAATCTTGGATCCAGTATCTCTGGACCATCTCAGGTAATCAGGTATAATCTTGGATCCAGTATCTCCTGGACCATCTCACCTATATCAGGTATAATCTTGGATCCAGTATCTCCTGGACACCTCACCTATATCAGGTATAATCTTGGATCCAGTATCTCCTGGAACACCACTTGATGTCATCACCTGACAGTCCAAAGACACTCTTTCTGTAATGAAAATAGAAACGTCTGGTGTAAACTAAGATTACGGAATAACAAAAATTAGGGGCTTCATACCAGTCAAATGTCATAAAACCCATGAGTAAAACAACCAGCCAAAGATGACAAACTTAAGACCTTTCCAAAAAAAACATGTTTTTTGTTTTCTTTTGAATTACCAAGACCCTCCAAAGTCCATTTCCAAAAAAGTCTTGTCCCCATACCCCATTCCAGCCTACGCCGACTTCTTCAAAGGTCCAGAAAATGGCGTTGAGGATTGGTCTTGTGACGCCAATGGTTGGGTTCAGGATATGTGACATAGAAATAGATTACAATCTATAAAATATTACAGTCCTGGGTAATTAATCGTTACATAAGGAGAGGAAGGACAGAAAAGATTTGAATGACACCTGCAGCATTTTACAGCAAAAAACGTAGATATCTACATCATGTTAACCTTAAAAAACTCTATAAAACACTAGATATTAATAATAAAAAATATGCATATACGGCATGTAAACTGCTTTGGTAACATCGTATTCCAGATGTCGTCAGTGCATAAGAATCCTCCCCTAGGAGAGGAGAGGAGGAAGCTCAATAAGCTGAGGGCTATCTCCGGATATTCCTACGGAGCCATCGCTGTGTGGAGGATAATCGCGGTCCACCGTCCGAGAGTAAATAGGGAGTCTCTGGGGGATCTGGCAGGCTCGAGGTCATAAACTGGAGCGCGCGGTGAGGGAGATCATTAAGGTGCTGATGGCAGATAAAGTGCAGGCGTTTGACGTGGAAGCACCTGATCCTTGTGCGTAGGCATCTGGAAGACAGCAAAATGGAGAAAAGCTGTTTTTACGGAGGAGAAGCCATCCGCTGGTGATGTAAACAAGCAGAACATCGCTCATTATCAAAATCTCAAGTAAGTGATTGCTCTGAAAAGTGTTTTCTATATCCTAGACAATCTTTTTGTGATTGATCTATAATTGTCCTCGTTTACCCCCGGGAAGGTAAATTACCGTGCATATGCCTGTCACAACAAATTGAAGGCAACAATCACAGAGATGTATCAGCAGAAGAATACTGATCTGAAGGATGTCGGATCTCACATCTACGAAGTCTGCTCACCTATGGCCCACCTGGCACTAGAACCCGGATCAGAACTAGATGAAGAATAAATGGTATAAAAGAAGTCTCTACTACTTATGGTGACCCAACAGGTGCAGGACCAGTGGCATATCCTCCGTGGGTGCAGTGTGTGCCGTGGCCATGGACCCCAAGGGGGAAGCCCACACATTGCACAACATAGGAGAATGCCATTGGAGTCTCTGTCTTTTCTGCAGCTGTGGTTGTCACTCTGTGGTTGTCACTCTGTGGTTGTCACTCACAGCCATGGCAAGGATCTGCTATGGGGCGGGTCCCCGTTTCCAGGGCGAGGAGAACTCTGATAAGCTTTAGCAGTAGCCAGTCAAAGTCCTCCTTCCCTTGCTAGCCCTGCCTACCCAGGGAAAGGAGGAAGAGAGCCCGTGCTGAGGAATGAACCACCATGGATAGTGGTAAGCTGTGCGGGGGAGGGCCATGTGGTGGCTGTACTGTGGGATAGAGGTTCACTTACTACTGACCCCTGAACTCTGAGTCATCTGCTACTGACCCTTGAACTGTGCGTCATCTGCTACTGACCCCTGAACTCTGTGTCATCTGCTACTGACCCTTGAACTGTGTGTCCTCTGCTACTGACCCCTGAACTTTGCGTCCCTTACTAATGACCTCTGAACTCTGCGTCATTTACTACTGACCCCTAAACTGTGCGTCATCTGCTACTGACCCCTGAACTGTGCGTCATCTACTACTGACCCCTGAGCTCTGGGTCCCTTACTACAGACCCCTGAACTCTGGGTCCCTTACTACTGACCCCTGAACTCTGGGTCCCTTACTACTGACCCCTGAACTCTGGGTCCCTTACTACTGACCCCTGAACTCTGGGTCCCTTACTACTGACCCCTGAACTCTGCGTCATCTGCTACTGACCCCTGAACTGTGCATCATCTGCTACTGACCCCTGACTCTGCGTCATCTGCTACTGACCCCTGGACTCTGGGTCCCTTACTACTGACCCCTGAACTCTGGGTCCCTTACTACTGACCCCTGAATTCTGGGTCCCTTACTACTGACCCCTGAACTGTGCGTCATCTGCTACTGACCCCTGAACTGTGCATCGTTTGCTACTGACCCCTGAACTCTGGGTCCCTTACTACTGACCCCTGAACTCTGGGTCCCTTACTACTGACCCCTGAACTCTGGGTCCCTTACTACTGACCCCTGAACTCTGGGTCCCTTACTACTGACCCCTGAACTCTGGGTCCCTTACTACTGACCCCTGAACTCTGGGCCCCTTACTACTGACCCCTGAATTATGGGTCCCTTACTACTTACCCCTGAACTCTGCGTCATCTACTACTGACCCCTGAACTGTGCATCATCTGCTACTGACCCCTGAACTCTGGGTCCCTTACTACTGACCCCTAAACTCTGGATCCCTTACTACTGACCCCTGAGCTCTGCATCCCTTACTACTGACCCCTGAGCTCTGCATCCCTTACTACTGACCCCTGAACTCTGGGTCCCTTACTACTCACCCCTATTGTTGCTGGATGCAGGGGATATATTCTACTGCTTTATCTTTAATAAATTCCAAATTACTTAGCACAGCAATATAATACTTGGTTCCGAATTCTCTAAAAGGGGGCGGTACTGGGAGGTGGAACCAAGGGACGATGCTCGGAGGTGGGTAGGGGGTGGAACCAAGGGACGGTGCTCGGAGGTGGGTAGGGGGTGGAACCAAGGGACAATGCTCAGAGGTGGGTAGGGGGTGGAACCAAGGGACGGTGCTCGGAGGTGGGTAGGGGGTGGGGGACAATGCTCGGAGGTGGGTAGGGGGTGGAACCAAGGGACGGTGCTCAGGAGGTGGGTAGGGGGTGGAACCAAGGGACGGTGCTCGGGTGGGTAGGGGGTGGAACCAAGGGACGGTGGAGGTGGGTAGGGGGTGGAACCAAGGGAACGGTGCTCGGAGGTGGGTAGGGGGGGGAACCAAGGGACGATGCTCAGGGTGGGTGCTCAGGGGGTGGAACCAAGGGACGGTGCTCGGAGGTGGGTAGGGGGTGGAACCAAGGGACGGTGCTCGGGTGGGTAGGGGGTGGAACCAAGGGACGGTGCTCAGAGGTGGTGGGTAGGGGGTGGAACCAAGGGTTGGTGCTCCAAGGAGGTGGGTAGGGGGTGGAACCAAGGGACGTTGCTCGGAGGTGGGTAGGGGGTGGAACCAAGGGACGTTGCTCAGAGGTGGGTAGGTGGAACCAAGGGACGGTGCTCAGAGGTGGGTAGGGGGTGGAACCAAGGGACGGTGCTCAGGAGGTGGGTAGGGGGTGGAACCAAGGGACAATGCTCGAGGTGGGTAGGGGGTGGAACCAAGGGGGTAAGGGGTGGAACCAAGGGACGGTGCTCGAGGTGGGTAGGGGGGGTGGGTAGGGGGTGGAACCAAGGGGCTCAGAGGTGGGTGGTGCTCGGAGGTGGGTAGGGGGTGGAACTCAGAGGTGGGTAGGGGGTAGAACCAAGGGAACCATGGGTAGGGGGTGGAACCAAGGGACAATGCTCAGAGGGGTAGGGGGTGGAACCAAGGGACGGTTGCTCGGCTTGGAGGTGGGTAGGGGGTGGAAACAAGGGACGGTGCTCAGAGGTGGGTAGGGGTGGAACCAAGGTACGGTGCTCAGAGGTGGGTAGGGGGCAGAGGCAGGGGTGACTCATAAAAGGGGCAGTCCTGCACCCATTCTCTGAGAAATAAAAGCCCTGCCACCTCGTATACATGAAAATAAAAATATACAAAAATGAAACAAATATGAAAAGAATTCAGCTTCATCCTGTATATTGGCTCACATTGTAACAAGTACAAAGAAGGCCAGGAGTTCAACATTTAAGGCCTTTCACTGGGTAGCCATCCATATTAAAAAAGGACTATCGGCATGAGAAAAGTACACAGCAGATCGAACAACAGATGAAAACATTTGTATACAAATAATAAATGCGTCTGAGAAAATGTACACCAAGAACAATTCTCCTCCTGATGGCTTCCAATGTGTGGTTTGCCGACATTTTTGATCATTGAGAAGCGGGAAGGCTTCCTATTCGGGACTTGACCCTTCGGGTGCGAAGAATACCGTCATGGTGGATGGAAGAATACCGTCATGGTGGATGGAAGAATACCGTCATGGTGGATGGAAGAATACCGTCATGGTGGATGGAAGAATACCGTCATGGTGGATGGAAGAATACCGTCATGGTGGATGGAAGAATACCGTCATGGTGGATGGAAGGATGCCTAAACCTGCATTTCCTGATGTATATGTTCCTACAATCCCGAACACGGAAGAAAACTAGAATTGCATTTTTGTTGTGTTCATCATCTACACAGCATGGTGGAAGAGTCACCCACAGGAGGGGTCCAGGAAACGTCAGGCAGCCTGCGATTTTGCGTTTTTGAGGATGCTGTTTTTGGATACAGGAACTTCGCTGTCATTACAAGGCGTAGGCATCAACACGTATCAGTCGTACATTTTATTTTTCATGTTGTTGTCTTCTGGCAAATAATAAACTCTAGGCTGGAGGAACGTCTGTGAATGATATTATTCTTCTGCAGAAAATGTACTGTTGTTGGATCCATTTTCCTTCACGTGCCACCCTCTTTCCCTTTAAGACTGAATGGGGGGGTTAACAATCCTGAGTTTGCCACAAAATAGGCCCGGTGAGGCGTGTCAAGGTGCTGTCGGCCATATTGTAACCAGGCTTTTTTGTGGCATTGGTGCAGTAAAAGCTTCTTTCTGGCAACTCCACCATGCAGCTCATTTTTGTTCAAGTATCAACGTATTGTGATCCTTGCAACAACCACATCGTCTTTTTCCAGAGTAGCCTGGATTTCTCCTGAGGTCACCTGTGGGGGGTTTTCTTTTGTATTCCAAACAGTTCTTATGGCAGTTGAGGCTGCCATCTTTCTTGGTCTGCTTGACCTTGGCTTGTTGTCAAGAGATCCCCGAATTTTCCATTTCTTAATAAGTGATTGAACAGTACGGACCGGCCTATTCAAGGCTTTGGATATCTTTTCAGATCCTTTTCCATCTTTATAAAATTCCATTCCCTTGTTACGCAGGTCTTTTGACAGTTCTTGTCTGCTCCCCATGACTCAGTATCTAGCCCGCTCGGTGCCTCCATGTGAGAGCCAACAAACTCACAATTTATACACTGACACTGATTGCAATGTGAAAAGCCACAGATGTGGAAAATGAACCCTTTAATGGCCATTGTACCCTCCGTGTGTCACCTTGTGTGTCTGTGCCAAGGCTGAACATTCCAAGGGGTGGAGACTTCTGATCTGGGGGCGGAGAATTCTGATCTAGGGGCGGAGACTTCTGATCGGGGCATGTGGGTGATTTTCTGTTATCATTAGGATTTATAAAGGAGCCAAACAACCATGTGATCGTAAATGGCGTCATGTCATCACTATCCTTCAAAAAGACAGTTTTCTGGCAGGATCCCTCAGATTTTCAATATCAATGCCAAAATTTCACCATTTCTGCCGGGGTGTGCAAACTTTTCAGCACAGCTGTACTAGTATAAACCCATTCGGGTCCAGTCACATGATCCAGCTCCCCTGTGTCAGCCAGCAGTGGCTGCAGGGGAGAGGAGGGAAAGCCAACAATGGCTGGGACATGGGAGCCTATGGGTGAGGTTGTGGAATTCCCAGTCATTGTTAGAGTGTTCCCTCCTCTCCCATGCAGCTGCCACTGGCTGACACAGGCTGCCAAACCCGCACCAACGCGTTTCACTTCTGCCAAGGAGCCTAATCCTATGACTACAATTAAATGAAACATGTTAGAGCAGGTTTGGCACTAGGTGGGGTTGTCATGTGCATCATGTTACTTCCGGTTTCTTAAGGTGAACGGCTGCCTTTCTTTTCCTTGAAAGTTTGATTTGCTATGTGTGCAATGGCTCGCAACCGTGGAAAACATGCTTCAGCAACCTGGGACACAAGAGAGGAGTGTAGAGGAACACAAGTCTTTTAAACACATTTCCTGCCTCAGAGTTGGAGTGGCTGGAGATATGGGGAGACCCAGAACTGGAGCCCCTGATATATGGGGAGACCCAGAACTGGAGGATATGGGGAGACCCAGAACTGGAGCCCCTGAGATATGGGGAGACCCAGAACTGGAGACCCTGAGATATGGAGAGGAATTGGAGCCCCTGAGATATGGGGAGACCCAGAACTGGAGAGATATGGGGAGACCCAGAACTGGAGACCCAGAACTGGAGAGACCCCTGAGAGTACCCAGAACTGGAGACCCTGAGATATGGGGAGACCCAGAACTGGAGACCCTGAGATATGGGGAGACCCAGATAATGGAGACCCCTGAGATATGGGGAGACCCAGAACTGGAGACCCTGAGATATGGAGAGACCCAGAATTGGAGCCCCTGAGATATGGGGAGACCCAGAACTGGAGACCCTGAGATATGGGGAGACCCAGAACTGGAGACCCTGAGATATGGGGAGACCCAAAGACTGTCTGAGACAGAGACCCATATCTCAGACCCCGACCCTGAGATATAGGGAGACTCAGATAATGGAGCCCCTGAGATATGGGGAGACCTAGAACTGGAGACCCTGAGATATGGGGAGACTCAGAGACTGGAGCCCCCGAGATATAGGGAGAACCAGAGACTGGAAACCCTGAGATATGGGGAGACCCAGAACTGGAGACCCTGAGATAAGGGGAGACCCAGAGACTGTCTGAGACAGAGACCCATATCTCAGACCCTGAGATATGGGGAGACTGGAGCCCCCGAGATATGGGGAGACCCAGAGACTGGAAACCCTGAGATAGGGGAGACCCAGAGACTGGAGACCCTGAGATATGAGAAAACCCAGAGACTGGAGACCCTGAGATATGTGGAGACCATGAGATATAGGGAGACCCAGAGACTAGAGACCCTGAGATAAAGGTGGAGCCAGGGACTGGAGACCCTGAGATATAGGGAGAGACAGAGTCTGGAGACCCTGAGATATGGGAAGTTACAGGGGCGTATTTACCACAAGGCATACAAAGCATGTGCCTAGGGCGGCATTTTTCAGGGGGGTGTTGGTCAATATCAGGCTCTCTCTGGGGGAAGTGGGGGCCAATTTTGTGTTGCCTAGGGCAGCACAAAACCTAAATATACCACAGGGAAGACACAGACACTGGAGACCCTGAGATAAAGGGGGAGCCAGGGACTGGAGACCCTGAGATAAAGGTGGAGCTAGGGACTGGAGACCCTGAGATATAGGGGGAGACAGAGACTGGAGAACCTGAGATATGAGGAGACCCAGAGACTAGAGACCCTGAGATAAAGATGGAGCCAGGGACTGGAGACCCTGAGATAAAGGGGGAGCCAGGGACTGGAGACCCTGAGATAAAGGGGGAGCCAGGGACTGGAGACCCTGAGATAAAGGGGCAGCCAGGGACTGGAGACCCTGAGATAAAGGGGGAGCCAGGGACTGGAGACCCTGAGATACTGAGAAACCCAGAGAGAAGACAGGGCAGAGACAGGAGACCAATTTAGAAATTCCTAAGTATGCCAGCACCAATCTCCATGGCGATGTATGACCCAGGTCCGCCCACAATCCAGGGGTCATAGACACATTCCAGGGCATCAATGTGGCCTAAATTGTCAATAAAATTAAAATGCGTCCAAACATTTATTTTTTTTTGCAATATCTCACCGACCACTCACTGGATATCCGAGGAATGCGGATTGGTTCACTGCTTCTGCCCTCTCCTCCATCACTGATTGGTCGGATCTCAATGACGTAATCCTCATCGTAGGGAAGGGACAGTTCCACTGAGGTCTGATTTGTCTCGATCATGGTGGCTCCAGCCTGGCGGTTCCACCGATAGAAGACCTACAACAATAATAAACGAAGTCACAGTGAGTAAAAGTGACCCAAAAAAAGTGTGATTGGACAAGCATCTGAACCTATGAAAATCTTAGGCTGTGTTCCTCAGTTTAAGCCCCGCCCCTCAGGAGTCTAGTGCAGTCTCCTTCACACAAACTGAAGCATGAGGAGGGTTTTGCAGTGCATGGAATCATCTGAAAGGAGCATGCAGTGGTGCCCAGACGCACAATAAAAAATGTTGCAGAAATTTGGAGAGAGGTAAACTACGGGAATTCCTTTTCAGAACGGCCTTAATAATTATGTAGAGTTCACAAAGTAAGGGAGATCATTGATCATAAACCTGTTATGGGCAATTTCGTTTGCATGTAGGCAAGTGCAGTCTCCTTTCTTCACTGATGGTGGCGCTCAACCGCAGCGGCACTGCAGAAGGAGAGGAAGTCAGGAGGAACACCTCTATGGTTTCTTGGGTCACTGGAGAAGCTATCCGGTTGGATGCTGCCACCTCATATGACTCCGGCAGCCATCTTGGGTCAGGCAGAGTCTATTTAAGACCCTGGCTCCCGGGATTGGTGTGCATTCCTGCGAGTGGGTAGTGCAAGGACAGATCTCCCGTCTGAGTAGGATTAGGGACTTAGGAACAAAGACTGTTCCTGTATATGGGACTTTGTCATGTTTTGCACTTTTATTGAGTAAAGGGTTAAACTTTGCCTTCTGCCTGGTCTGGAGTCCTTCAAAGAGCTGCAATGCAAGTACCCGACGCAGTTCGACCTTGAGTGTTCAGTCTGGGTCACTAGCACATGGGGTATGAAGAGTCCACATGTTAAGAATCATCATAACATTAGCCACACATGTGGTTGCCATGGGCAGCAAAGGTACAGTCAGCGAGCAAGCCTGTCGATAGCGTGTACCTGGTATAGGTGGAAGTGTCTCTAGCCGTGAGGGAGATATTGTTGGCACTCCCTATGTCGTGTTATGTCTCCTATAGCAACAGAGCAGTGGTCCCCGTCCTGTACAGAGGTGCAGAAGTTCAAGAGTTACAGTCAAGTGGAGCCTGTGCTAGGTGCACAACGGGGTCCCATTCCTCTACTGGTATCAGTGGTGAAAAACGCTGAACAGGTAGCTGTGGTCAGTATTCGGCACTGCCCACCTAATTGTATGCTACAGAGGAAAGATGTCCATTTACACGGGGACCCGAGAGCCAACTGGAGAACAGTTATGGTACATTGTGTATCGGTCATCTCTTATGTTAGAGGCTCGCATTGGGGTTGAGGAGTCCCCCATGGCAGCCTTGGCCTTGTCCCAAAGGCACAAAAGTAAAGGTACCCTGTGGGCAGGAGAATGACCCTGACAGAGTTGCCTAGTGTAGCCTGAAGAACCCACCCCAGAGGTAATCCTCTTATGTGACCCAGACTTGACACCCAATGATATAATTGGGAAACATGGAGGAAGGTTCACCATCACCTGCCCAACCCCTTGCTACAAGCATGTGTATCGGTCATCTCTTATGTTAGAGGCTCACATTGGGGTTGAGGAGTCCCCCATGGCAGCCTTGGCCTTGTCCCAATGGCACGAAAGTAAAGGTACCCTATGGGCAGGAAAGTGACCGTGACAGAGGTGCCTAGCGTAGCCTGAAGAACCCACCCCAGGGGTAATCCTCTTATGTGACCCAGACTTGGCACCCAATGAGGTAATTGGGAAACATGGAGGAAGGTTCTCCATCACCCTCCTAACCCCTTGCTACAAGCATGTGAATAGAATGGTGCAGGACAGACAGAATCGGTTTGTCAGGCTCTAGTAGACTACAACACACTCCCTGGAATAGGTAGAAGATGGCTTCAGCTCCGGTTCTCCAACTGTAGAGAACCATTCAATGGTAGAGTCGATGAAGATACGATTAGGCCCCGAAAAGGTTGAAACACATCCCTACAGGTGGAGACCAGGAGCCGAAGCCATCTTTTACCTGTTCCATTCACACTCATGAAGCCGGGAGGCGGAGTCTGGGTGCAGGTGACCACCGTTTTGTGGAGGAAAAAAACTTCACGCGTTGAATGTGGCCTAAAAATCTCTCTCTGGCAAGGCTGACCACTCGGAGAAAGTCATTCCAGGAGGAGATTAATGCCCCCACTTACCCGGTAACCTTTCACCTCGGACTCGTCCTCCTGCGCGGTCACCTGATCCCAGTTCAGGATAATTTTGGAGTTGGAAGAGTTCCAGACGATGTTTCCAGGCGGCTGGCTTGGGGCTGCAACAGAGAAAAAGTCTCAGAGAAAACAGAGTCACAGACATGATTTTGCCGAATTTGGACCTACATGAGTGAGGCCGTCAGTGTGCGGCTCTTGTTCTGTTGTTTGCTGCATGGCAATGAGTAGGGGAGGGGTTCCTGGAGGCCAGCACCTGATATACTACACACTGGAGGACTACACCTCATACTACAGACTGGAGGACTACACCTGATATACTACACACTGGAGGACTACACCTCATACTACAGACTGGAGGACTACACATCATATACTACACACCGGAGGACTACACCTCATATACTACACACTGGAGGACTACACCTGATATACTACACACTGGAGGACTACACCTCATATACTACACACTGGAGGACTACACCTCATATACTACAGACTGGAGGACTACACCTCATATACTACAGACTACACCTGGAGGACTACACCTCATATACTACACACTGGAGGACTACACCTGATATACTACTACACACCGGAGGACTACACCTCATATACTACACACTGGAGGACTACACCTGATATACTACACACTGGAGGACTACACCTCATACTACAGACTGGAGGACTACACCTGATATACTACAGACTGGAGGACTACACCTGATATACTACCCACTGGAGACTGGAGGACTACACCTGATATACTACCCACTGGAAGACTACACCTCATATACTACAGACTGGAGGACTACACCTGATATACTACACTACACACTGGAGGACTACACCTGATATACTACACACTGGAGGACTACACCTGACTACACCTGATATACTACACACTGGAGGACTACACCTGATATACTACAGACTGGAGGACTACACCTCATATACTACAGACTGGAGGACTACACCTGATATACTACACACTGGAGGACTACACAGACTGGAGGACTATACCTGATATACTACAGACTGGAGGACTACACCTGATATACTACACACTGGAGGACTACACCTCATATACTACACCTGATATACTACACACTGAGGACTACACCTGATATACTACACACTGGAGGACTACACCTGATATACTACACACTGGAGGACTACACCTGATATACTACACACTGGAGGACTACACCTGATATACTACACACTGGAGGACTACACCTGATATACTACACACTGGAGGACTACACCTGATATACTACACACACACCTGATATACTACACACTGGAGGACTACACCTGATATACTACAGACTGGAGGACTACACCTCATATACTACACTACTACACCTGGAGGACTACACCTGACATAGGACTACACTACTACAGACTGGAGGACTACACCTGGAGGACTACACCTACATACTACAGACTGGAGGACTACACCTCATATACTACAGACTGGAGGACTACACCTGATATACTACAGACTGGAGGACTACACCTGATGATGGATACTACAGACTGGAGGACTACACCTCATATACTACAGACTGGAGGACTACACCTCATATACTACACACTGGAGGACTACACCTGATATACTACACACTGGAGGACTACACCTGATATACTACAGACTGGAGGACTACACCTCATATACTACACACCTGACTGGAGGACCTATATACTACACACTGGAGGACTACACCTATATACTACTGGAGGACTACACCTGATATACTACACAGACTGGAGGACTACACCTCATATACTACAGACTGGAGGGACTACACCTGATATACTACACACTGGAGGACTACACCTGATATACTACACACTGGAGGACTACACCTGATATACTACAGACTGGAGGACTACACCTCATATACTACACACTGGAGGACTACACCTCATATACTACAGACTGGAGGACTACACCTGATATACTACAGACTGGAGGACTACACCTCATATACTACAGACTGGGAGGACTACACAGACTGATATATACTACAGACTGGAGGACTACACCTGATATACTACAGACTGGAGGACTACACCTCATATACTACAGACTGGAGACTACACCTGATATACTACTACACACTGGAGGACTACACCTGATATACTACAGACTGGAGGACTACACCTGATATACTACAGACTGGAGGACTACACCTATATACTACAGACTGGAGGACTACACCTGATATACTACAGACTGGAGGACTACACCTCATATACTACAGACTGGAGGACTACACCTGATATACTACAGACTGGAGGACTACACCTGTATAACTCCCGACTGTGTACTACCCGATATACTGTATCCCGGTGGTACACCCGATATACTGTACCAGACTGGAGTATCACCTGTACATCCTGAGGAGGACTACACCTCATATACCACAGTGTGTATCCTGGAGGACTACACCTGATATACTACAGAGGAGGACTACACCTATATCCTGAGTGTGTATCCTGAGGTACATATACTACAGACTGGAGTATCCACAGTGTGTATCCTGAGTGTGTATCCCGAGTGTGTACACCCGAGGACTACACCTGATGTGTATCCAGACTGGAGTATCCTGAGTGTATATCCAGACTGTGGATCCAGTGTGTATCCAGAGTGTACACCCTGTGTGTGTACTACCAGAGTGTGTACTCCCGAGTGTGTATCCAGAGGACTACATCTGAGTATGTATACAGACTGGAGGTGTACCCTGATATACCCAGTGTGTATCCAGAGTGTACCAGAGTGTATATACACACTGAGGTGTACACCTGAGTGTGTATCCAGAGGTACATCCTGTGTATACTATCTGAGTGTGTACACCCGAGTGTGTATCCAGAGGTGTATCCAGAGTGTGTACACCAGAGTATGTATCCCGAGTGTGTATCCCTGATGTGTATCCAGAGTGGAGGTACCTGATGTGTATCCACGAGTGTGTATCCCGAGTGTGTATCCAGACTGTGATATACTATCCAGAGTTACATCCTGTGTGTGTATCCTGTGTGGTATCCACGAGTGTGTATCCAGAGTGTGTATCACCTGTGTATACCAGAGGAGTACTCCTGAGTGTACATCCACTGAGTGTACTACACCTGATGTGTATCCAGAGTGTGTATCCTGAGTGTACTATCACACTGAGGTGTATCCTGAGTGTGTATCCAGAGTGTGGAGGACTATCCAGAGGTATCATACCACCTGTGTATCCCGAGTGTGTATCCAGAGTGTGTATCCGAGTGTGTATCCCGAGTGTCCTGTGTGTGTATCCTGTGTGTGTATCCCGAGTGTGTATCCAGAGTGTGTACACCTGAGTGTACATCCTGAGTGTGTATCCCGAGTGTGTATCCAGAGTGTGTATCCCGAGTGTGTATCCAGAGTGTGTATCCCGAGTGTGTATCCCGAGTGTGTATCCAGAGTGTGTATCCCGAGTGTGTATCCAGAGTGTACATCCTGAGTGTGTATCCTGTGTGTGTGTATCCTGTGTGTGTATCCGAGTGTGTATCCCGAGTGTGTATCCCGAGTGTGTGTCCCGAGTGTGTATCCCGAGTGTGTATCCCGAGTGTGTATCCAGAGTGTGTATCCAGAGTGTGTATCCCGAGTGTATCCAGAGTGTGTATCCCGAGTGTGTATCCAGAGTGTGTATCCAGAGTGTGTATCCCGAGTGTGTATCCCGAGTGTTGTATCCCGAGTGTGTATCCCGAGTGTGTATCCTGAGTGTACATCCTGAGTGTGTATCCCGAGTGTGTATCCCGAGTGTGTATCCCGAGTGTGTGTATCCCGAGTGTGTATCCCGAGTGTGTACATCCTGAGTGTGTATCCCCCGAGTGTGTATCCCGAGTGTGTATCCCGAGTGTGTATCCAGAGTGTGTATCCCGAGTGTGTATCCCGTGGGAAATGAGCTGTTGTTTCCGGCTCAGTATCGGCTCCTCTGCTCTGCAATAACAGAACCTCAGCAATTAACAAGTAAAAAATAATTCAGATCTAGAATCATCTATGGCCCTGGAAGTACAGGTATCATGGAACCTTCCAGAACATGGAACCTCTCAGAACATGGAGCCTTCCAGAAGATGGAACCTTCCGGAACATGGAAACTCCCAGATCATGAAGCCTCCAAGAACATGGAACTTTCCAGAACATGTGACCTCCCAGAACATGGAGCCTTCAGAACACGGAACCTCCCAGAACATAAAGCCTTCAAGAACACGGAACCTCCAAGAATATGGAACCTTCCAGAACATGGGACCTCCAAGAACATGGTACTTTCCAAAATATGGGACCTCCAAGAACATGAAACCTCCAAGAATATGGAACCTCCCAGAACATGAAACCTTTCAGAACATGGAACCTCCCAGAACATGGGACCTCCAAGAGCATGAAACCTGCAAGAACACGGAACCTTCCAAAACATGGAACCTCCAGAACATGAGGCCTCCAGGAACATGAAACCTCCAAGAACATGGAACCTTCCAGAACATAGAAACTTTCAGAACATGGAAGCTCCGAGAACATGGAACCTCCCAGAACATGGGAGCCTTCAAGAACATGAAACCTCCAAGAATATGGAACCTTCCAGAACATGGGACCTCCAAGAACATGGTACTTTCCAGAATATGGGACCTCCAAGAACATGGAACCTCCAAGAACATGGAACCTGCAAGAACACGGAACCTTCCAAAACATGGAACCTCCCAGAACATGAGGCCTCCAGGAACATGAAACCTCCAAGAACATGGAACCTTCCAGAACATAGAAACTTTCAGAACATGGAAGCTCCGAGAACATGGAACCTCCCAGAACATGAAACCTTTCAGAACATAGAAACCTCCCAGAAAGGAAGGCCAGTTTGGTGTTGGATCACTCACGTGGTTTCCTGGTGGTCACATTGGCGGTAGGGCTGGCGGGGCCGGTGCCTGCGCTGTTGTACGCCCGCACATTCAGGTAATAGAGCGTGTGGCCCTGGAGATGGCTCAGTTTGGTAGAAGTTTGGTTTCCCAGAGTTCGGAGTTTGCGGGCGCTCTGCTCCTTCTCGTTCTGCTTCCAAAATCGAACCTGGGTGAGAAGTGAAGGGTCACGGGTGTCAATGATGGGCAAATGGTTGGGATTGGTGGGTGGGCGGTAAAACTGGGTCAATGTGTTCACCTCATATCCCTGGATTCTCCCTTTGCTGAGGCTACTCGGTACCGGTATCCATGACACCTCGATGTCCCAGGCAGTCAGGCTCCGGGCCACCACCCCCGCAGGGGCCCGACTTGGCTCTACACAAGAGATACATAAAAATATATATGTCACTCAGATGGGAATTGTTAGTTGGTGAGAATGCAGAGCTGAGCCTACAGAGGGGGGCCAAGACCAATATTCCTACCAACATTACCACTGCCCCCCCCCCCCCCATTATACACAACTAGATACAGCCCCCCCCCATTATACACAACTAGATACACCCCCCCATTATACACAACTAGATACACCCCCTCATTATACACAACTAGATACGCCCCCCATTATACACAACTAGATACACCCCCTCCATTATACACAACTAGATACACCCCCCCCCCAATATACACAACTAGATACACCCCCCCCCAATTATACACAACTAGATACACCCCCCCCAATATACACAACTTATACACCCCCAATATATACAACCCCCCCCCAATATACACAACTAGATACGCCCCCCATTATACACAACTAGATACACCCCCCCCCATTATACACAACTAGATACACCCCCCCCAATATACACAACTAGATACCCCCCCCAATATACACAACTAGATACACCCCCCCCCCCATTATACACAACTAGATACACCCCCCCAATATACACAACTAGATACAGCCCCCCCCATTACACACAACTAGATACACCCCCCCAATATACACAACTAGATACACCCCCCCCATTATACACAACTAGATACACCCCCCCATTATACACAACTAGATACACCCCCCCATTATACACAACTAGATACACCCCCCCCATTATACACAACTAGATACGCCCCCCATTATACACAACTAGATACACCCCCCCCATCCACAACTAGATACCCCCCCACACAACTAGATACACCCCCCCCAATATACACAACTAGATACACCCCCCCAATATACACAACTAGATACACCACAACCCCCCCCCCCATTATACACAACTAGATACACCCCCCCACAACTATACACAACTAGATACACCCCCCCAATATACACAACTAGATACACCACCCCCCATTATACACAACTAGATACACCCCCCCTAATATACACAACTAGATACACCCCCCCATTACAACTAGATACACACCCCAATATACACAACTAGATACACCCCCCCAATATACACAACTAGATACACCCCCCCCTATATACACAACTAGATACATTGCCCCACCCCTGTTATACACAACTTGATACACTGCCCCCCCAATATACACAACTAGATACACCCCCCCAATATACACAACTAGAAAACTAGATACACCCCCCCCAATATACACAACCCCCCCCCCCCCCCCCATCATACAGGGCTCCACATCCTACCCATAATACCAATGCCTTGTATCCCCACCAGAAATGCCCCACAGAAAACCACAAAGCAGAGGTTAATATTGGGGGGGGGGGGGGGGGGGGGGAATCAGACGTATAATTCTGAATTTTTGTGGTTGAACTGGATGGACTTTTGTGTTTTTTTCAGCCAGACTAACAATGTAACAATTCTGTCCTTCATAGTCTCCCTCACAGGGATTGCTACCCACTTCCTCAGGAGGATGCAGAAGAAGGGTTAGTCCGGGGCCCTCAGCCTTCTGAAGGGGCCACAATGAACTGAAATGAACATTTTCCTCCTGCGGCCGCTGAATGGAGGAGAGGAGGAGAAGCCAGATTTCATTGGTTGCAGGAGGAAAAAATGGAGGGCATTGGTTCCTGAATACGCCGCCCCTCCTGTCCAAGTGTAAAACAGCAAGTGACAGGGAGGCCGCAAGGGCCCCCTGGAGCATGGGGTGGGGTCACTGTTGTGACCCGACACTAAACCAGTGGTTGAAACGCGTCTCAACTCTGGGGTTTTACCCCCCCCTGCACCAAACCGCAAATGTAAACAAACCCTTCTGTCCTGAGCCCCCGACAAGGCTGCTTTCAGAGTGATGCGCTGAGGTGGAGCTCCTGCGGATTTCCTGCGGATTTCCTTGCGCTTTGTCATAGACTTCTGTTATATCTCGCGGGTCAGATGCACTTTTTGAACGCACAACAAAATTCCTGCATTGGGAGTCTGGGTGCACCAAAGGATATGATAAAAGTGTGCTTCCCTGGTTTGAGGTCAAGGGCCACCAGAGGGCTCCGAGGGCCACATGTGGCCCATAGGTTGAGCACCCCTGGGTTGATATAGGGGCGGACTGGTAACTCATGGGGCCCCTGGGCAATAGGGGATCATGGGGCCCATGTGTCCTCGCTCAAACTCAAAAAAGCCTATGAAAAAGGTACCAGGGGCATCTCATGGGGCCCCCTACTGACCCCGGGCCCTTGGGCAGTTCCTGAGTTTCCAAATGGTCAGTCCACCCCTGGTTGATATGCAAGTAGTCTGACACTGAGCAAAAACCCCATAAGGTGACATCAAGTGCCCCTTGGTAGGCATCTGGGACACGGGGGGGCAACCCGGAGCCGGTATCCAGGGCCAGTGCTAGAATATGTTGCACCCTAGGCAAGACCAGCTACTTGCACCCCCCCCCCCAAAAAAAAAAAAAAAAATTCACCTGTAGTTCTACTTTACTCCTCCTAACACAAATCCCCCTAAATCCCTCCACAGCACAAATCCTTCCTCCTCACCCAAATCTCCCCCCTATGCACAGCCCCTCCCAATCCCCCCTACTAGCACAAATCCACCCCAATCCCCCCTACTAGCACAAATCCCCCTAAATCCCTCCACAGCACAAATCCTTCCTCCTCACCCAAATCTTCCCCCCCTATGCACAGCCCCTCCCAATCCCCCCTACTAGCACAAATCCACCCCAATCCCCCCTACTAGCACAAATCCCCCTAAATCCCTCCACAGCACAAATCCTTCCTCCTCACCCAAATCTTCCCCCCCTATGCACAGCCCCTCCCAATCCCCCCTACTAGCACAAATCCACCCCAATCCCCCCTCCTAACACAATTTCCCCCCCAATCTCCCCACATTCACACTACAATAAAATGAAGCTAACCAATGCCCCTGACAATGTCTTTTTTGATGACGAAACACGTAGGGTGGAGCCACGCTGTCATCGTGCTCTGGAGGGACAGCGGCCATCTTGTTGGTTTGAAATCACTCTTTTTTTTTTTACCATTCTGGCTGTTATATTTATTTATGTACGCAGAACCTAAATAAATCTATTGATAATAATTTTGGATACTACACTCTGAGTCGCCTTTCTTCTCTTCTTCTGCCATTTGATGGGAGATTCCGCTATTTGGAAGTTCATTGAAGTTGGAGAAGCAATTGTATTGTTCTGGAGGGGATTTCTATCTTGGATCCACTGTTGTCTAGAGGATATACCATACTACTTATACTGACCGTCACTTTGGGAGGTCACAAACTTCCGGTGAGAGGCCAATCTATTTGGGTGGATGGTGACGGCTGTTGGATTGGATCTTTCCTCTCATGCACAAAATTCGATCTGTTTGGGAACCTACATGGACTTTATCACATTTATTGTGTTGTAAGATCAACGTATAATTAGCGCTGCATTTATTTATATTTCAAAACCAACCAACAGCCAATCACAGTGAAGAAGGCCTCAACAGCCAATCACAGTGAAGAAGGCCTCAACAGCCAATCACAGTGAAGATGGCCTCAACATCCAATCACAGTGAAGATGGCCTCAACATCCAATCACAGTGAAGAAGGCCTCAAACATCCAATCACAGTGAAGAAGGCTTCAATAGCCAATCACAGTGAAGAAGGCCTCAACAGCCAATCACAGTGAAGAAGGCTTCAACAGCCAATCACAGTGAAGAAGGCTTCAACAGCCAATCACAGGGAAGAAGGCCTCAACAGCCAATCACAGTGAAGAAGGCTTCAACAGCCAATCACAGTGAAGAAAGCTTCAACAGCCAATCACAGTGAAGAAGGCCTCAACAGCCAATTACAGTGAAGAAGGCTTCAACAGCCAATCACAGTGAAGAAGGCCTCAACAGCCAATCACAGTGAAGAAGGCCTCCACAGCTAATCTAGAAAATGTTCAGACCCACAATCATCCAATCACAGCTCGGCTCTCGTTAGACCACCTACCTTCCTCGGCAGTGTAGACGACGGTCAGGGGGCTGAAGGGTCCCTCCCCCCTGTTGTTGAACACCCCGACCTTCACCTCGTACGGAGAGAAGGACGGCAGACTCTCGTTCCTGTAGACGTAGCGAGCGGCGTCTGCTGAGGCTACAACGGTCTGCATCCAGCTGATCGTTCCGAAGGGTCGGAAAGCCACCACGTAGCCGAAGCCTCCACCGTTCTGGTATTCCTCGGGGACCGGCTGGAAGGTGATAGGAATACCGGATTTATTTCCGGGAACTCAAAGCTGACGTTTGATCTGCTTATATCTTTCAGCCGTTGGTTCCCCTCATACATTACATACCTCATTTTACACCCCGTGATGTCATCACTGGGTCTCTTTGCTTCTCTATACAATGCAGGCAGATCATGGCTGGTGGGAAGGGTCGGCAGGGTGCTGTACATGGTTTCCTGAAAATATTACAGCCCCCTGCCTCAGTACTCCTCTCAAGAGCCCTCAGTCCTGATGCAAGCAGTGGGAGGAGTTATGCAAATATCAAAATGTATTGATGGGTGGGCGTCATCCTGGGGGAGTGGGCGGTCCTAGACAGGCTACATTTGCATATCTGATGCTGAGCCTCTGTGATAGAACTGAAATCTAATGACTGAAAGGGGCGGGGCAAGGGATAGTCAGGCTGTGGCACCGAGTCTGGGGCGAGTGTCCCTTCTGCCCCCCACCCAGCTTGAATCAGCTCTAATTAAAAAGGTGGGGCCAGGGACAGTCAGGCTGGGGAGTAAAGTGATAGATGATGCTGGACGTCCTTCAGCCAGGAAAAGAGGCGGAGCTCTATTTGACTTTCTGTATCTTCTAATGCACATTGTGAGAATCTCCCAGTGTGCAGTGATATCACAGGAAGCCATTCCAGTCCAGGGGAGGAGCCGGTACACCTGTACTAGACTGAAGGGGAGGAGCCAGTACACCTGTGCAAGACTGAAGAGGAGGAGCCGGTACACCTGTGCAAGACTGAAGGGGAGGGGCTGGTACAACTGTGCAAGACTAAAGGGAGGAGCCGGTACACCTGTACTAGACTGAAGGGGAGGAGCCGGTACACCTGTGCAAGACTGAAGGGGAGGAGCCGGTACACCTGTGCAAGACTGAAGGGGAGGGGCTGGTACAACTGTGCAAGACTAAAGGGGAGGAGCCAGTACACCTGTACTAGACTGAAGGGGAGGAGCCGCTACACCTGTGCAAGACTGAAGGGGAGGAGCCGGTACACCCTGTGCAAGACTGAAGGGGAGGAGCCGCTACACCTGTGCAAGACTAAAGGGAGGAGCCAGTACACTTATGCAAGACTGATGGGGAGGGGCCGGTACAACTGCAAGACTGAAGGGGAGGAGCCGGTACACCTGTGCAAGACTGAAGGGGAGGAGCTAGTACACCTGTGCAAGACTGAAGGGGAGGAGCCGGTACACCTGTGCAAGACTGAAGGGGAGGAGCCGGTACACCTGTGCAAGGCTGAAGGGGAGGAGCCGGTACACCTGTGCAAGGCTGAAGGGGAGGAGCTGGTACACCTGTGCAAGACTGAAGGGGAGGAGCCGGTACACCTGTGCAAGGCTGAAGGGGAGGAGCCGGTACACCTGTGCAAGGCTGAAGGGGAGGAGCCTGGTACACCTGTGCAAGACTGAAGGGGAGGAGTTCATACACCTGTGCAAGACTGAGGGGGAGGAGCTGACACACCTGTGCAAGACTAAAGGGGAGGAGTTGGTACACCTGTGCAAGACTGGGGGGGAGGAGTTGGGTACACCTGTGCAAGACGGGGGGGAGGGGGCAAAGGGACGATTTATGGAATAGAATAGGAAAGATTAGTTTCCTTATAACCATCATAGAAAGTGAATGAACATTTATAAATATAGAACTCTCTGTTCCGGCACATTCTGATCTCTTCTCTCTTATCTAATGATATTGATGATTGTGAACCGACTATGAACTCATAGGATACAATGTAACGTGTGGGGGGGGGCAGTAACATGTTTCACTCCCTGGTGATTGCCGGCTCCTTGTATAAGCTCTGGTTGCAGCAAATTTCATAATATTTTTGGAGGGATTCCATTGAACGGTCTTGTTGTGTAATGATGACTTACCTCCCATGTGATGACAAGCTCATTCTTGCTGCCTCCTCCCCCGCTCACATTGGCTGGTGTGACCTCCGGGACTGAAAATGGAAAATGAGAAAGTCTGATATTACAAATATTAGAAAGAAAGCAAAACCGAGCGTCTATGGTAGTGAGGAGCCATAACAGGAGACTACTGGGGGGGGGGGGGGGGGGGGGGGGGGGGGGGGGGGGGGGGGGGGGGGTGGATCCGAATATAGATGTGGCCATGGTGGCTCTCTCCCCTGTGGGACAATGAAGTGACAACACAACACCAGCTCTGAGTTTACAGCAACAGGGAAGAGTGAGGAAGGGTACAAAAGTGTAACCACATGGGAGGTTCAGCAGAATTATCACTTTTATTATACAAGACTTCTCTATATTGTAACTTTACTCATTATTTATTGTCACCACTAGATGTCAGCAAAGACTACAAGTGAGAAAAAGAAACAGAAAAGTGGGGCCCACATCTTACGACGGTGCACCAAGGATGTGGCAGATAGAGACACTCATTTCCAGAGATTCTCAGCTCTCACCCCAGACTTCACTTCTACAGAAGAGGAAACTATTGTCCCTTAAAGTGTTTGTAAAGGCTGAAGGTTCTTTTTACCTTAATGCATTCTCTATATTAAGATGAAAAAAAGGGAAGGAAGGAGGAAGAGGGAGAAGGAAGAGAAGAGAGGAGGAAGGAAGGAAGAGAAGAAGGAGGAAGGAAGGAAGGAAGGGAAGAAGGAGGAAGGAAGGAAGGGAAAGAAGGAGGAAGGAAGGGAGGGAGGAGGGAGGGAAGGGAGGGAGGAGGAAGGAAGGGAGGGAGGAAGGGAGGAAGAAGGAAGGAAGGGAAGGGAGGGAGGAAAGAAGGGAGGGAGGGAGGGAGGGAGGAGGAAGGAAGGAAGGAAGGAAGGAAGGAAGGGAAGGAAGGAAGGAAGGAAGGAAGGAAGGAAGGAAGGAAGGAAGGGAGGGAGGGAGGGAGGAAGGAAGGAAGGAAGGGAGGGAAGGTGGAAGGAGGAAGGAAGGAGGAAGGGAGGAAGGGAGGAAGGGAGGGAGGGAGGAAGGAAGGGAGAAAGGAAGGAAGGGAGGGAGGGAGGGGTGGAAGGAGGAAGGAAGGGAGGAAGGGAGGGAAGGAGGAAGGAAGGGAGGGAGGAAGGGAGGGAGGGAAGGAGGAAGGAAGGGAGGGAGGGAGGGAAGGAAGAAGGGAGGGAGGGAGGAAGGGAGAGGAAGGAAGGAAGGAAGGGAGAGGAAGGAAGGAGGAAGGAAGGAAGGAAGGAAGGGAGGGAGGGAGGGAGGGAGGAAGGAAGGGAGGAAGGGAGGGAAGGGAGGAAGGAGGAAGGAAGGAAGGGGGAGGGAGGGAGGGGAAGGAAGGAAGGAAGGAAGGAAGGAAGGAAGGAAGGAAGGAAGGGAGGGAGGGAGGGAGGGATGGAAGGAGGAAGGAAGGGAGGAAGGTGGAAGGAGGAAGGAGGAAGAAGGGAGGGAGGGAGGGAGGGGAGGGAGGGAAGGAAGGAGGGGAAGGAAGGGAGGGAAGGAGGAAGGAAGGGAGGGAGGGAAGGAGGAAGAAGGGAGGGAGGGAGGGAGGGAGAGGAAGGAAGGAAGGAGAGGGAGGAGGAAGGAAGGAAGGAAGGAAAGGGAAGGGAGGGAGGAAGGGAGGGAAGGAAGGGAGGGAGGGAAGGAAGGAAGGAAGGAAGGGAGGAAGGAAGGGAAGGAGGGAGGAAGGGAGGAAGGAAGGAAGGAAGGGAGGAAGGAAGGAAGGAAGGAAGGAAGGAAGGGAGGAAGGAAGGAAGGAAGGGAGGAAGGAAGGAAGGGAGGGAGGGAGGAAGGAAGGAAGGGAGGAAGGGAGGAAGGAAGGAAGGAAGGAAGGAAGGGAGGAGGAAGGGAGGAAGGAAGGAAGGGAGGAAGGACAAAGACAATGTTAAGGAAAGTCTTCTGAGAAATAAAGTGAAAAGATTTGCCCCAATATAGTGCAGCTAAATGACATTAATAAGCCACACTAGTGAAATGCTCTCCCAGTGATGGAAGAGAGATGGCGCTGTAGTGCATTCCTCCAGGATGATGACATTTTTTCTTGCTGTGGCCAGCGGTGGAGTCCTCTCTAGGGGCCCCGGGATGGGTATGGAGGAGCAGGACCGATATCACGCGGTTGTATCGCATCGCCCCTCTTTCTTGCTCCATTCTGAGTGGATACTTTTATTGTGTTTGAAGTTTATTAAAGTTGTTTTGCTGCTCTGCGTCGGAGGGGTGGGGGGATGGATGGGGTCAGGGGGATGGATGGGGTCAGGGGGGTAGATGGGGTCGGGGGGGTAGATGGGGTCGGGGGGGATGGATGGGGTCAGGGGGGTGGATGGGGTCGGGGGGCGCTGTTATCTATGTTTTTCCATCACAAACCAGTTCGGAGATCTCCCAGACTAATGTGGTTTATCGATGGATTTGTCTTCTCCGGGTCGAATTCTGCCATTCACACCGTTTATCCGGAATAAGTTGGTTTTATTGCGCACTTTGTTACTCTTCTACTTTTGTAAGAAACGTTTCCATGACTTACGCGCTTCCTCCGTCCTTCGCTTATCGGATGGCGGACTCGGCTCTCCGATGCCAATCTGGTTGATGGCGATGACACGAAATTCATACTCCACCCACGGACTCAGACCGACAACAGTAGCTGTGAATGATCGACCGTCCACCACCTCCGGCACTGAGAGGAAATCACAAATACAAAGACATCCATTTATATAGAATTAGGAAATACATGTGATCATTCCCTCCAGCGTTTTCTCTAGAATTGTTACATTGTACGCTTCAAAGACGTATGTATGTCCTCTGCTCCTCAGCTCCAACTAGTGGCCACAATGTGGTATTTTAATGCCCATTTAGCACAGGAATGTGTTGCTGGAGGAATGGCTGTGCAAACGTTTTACCAAGAGACCCCAAAGTGTGACCAGTGACATAAATAAGTGACTTGCGTTGCTCCTGACAACCCCGAGATGAATTGTTCCAGGCAGAAGGCTCAGCTTCCTTCCCTGTCATACTATTCTGTGGTTTCAGCTGCTGTGCTAAATGCTTATCAGGCAATAGCGCCATCCACAGGCTGAAGCTGGTACTGCGTCTTATTGATTATTACTGAGCAACAGGAAATAAAACTGTTCGATTTACTTCAAATCCAACAGCTGGAGCAGCAAATACTTTACTAATTTACTAATTCACATCATCACTGAGAATGCAGCCTATCCATTCACTAGAGAGCGGTGACATCACTAATGAGAATGCGGCCTATCCATTCACTAGAGAGCGATGACATCACTGAGAATGCAGCCTATCCATTCACTAGAGAGCGGTGACATCACTGAGTGCAATGCAGCCTATCCATTCACTAGAGAGCGGTGACATCACTGAGAATGCAGCCTATCCATTCACTAGAGAGCGATGACATCACTGAGAATGCAGCCTATCCATTCACTAGAGAGCGATGACATCACTAAGAACGCAGCCTATCCATTCACTAGAGAGCGATGACATCACTGAGAATGCAGCCTATCCATTCACTAGAGAGCAGAGAATGCAGCCTATCCATTCACTAGAGAGCATGACATCACTGAAATGCAGCCTATCCATTCACTAGAGAGCGGTGACATCACTGAGAATGCAGCCTATCCATTCACTAGAGAGCGATGACATCACTGAGAATCCGAGACATCACTAAGAACAGCTATCCATTCACTAGAGAGGGCGATGACATCACTAAGAACGCAGCCTATCCATTCACTAGAGAGCAGTGACATCACTGAGAATGCAGCCTATCCATTCACTAGAGAGCGGTGACATCACTGAGAATGCAGCCTATCCATTCACTAGAGAGCGATGACATCACCGAGAATGCAGCCTATCCATTCACTAGAGAGCAGTGACATCACTGAGAATGCAGCCTATCCATTCACTAGAGAGCGGTGACATCACTGAGAATGCAGCCTATCCATTCACTAGAGAGCGATGACATCACTAAGAACGCAGCCTATCCATTCACTAGAGAGCAGTGACATCACTGAGAACACAGCCTATCCGTTCACTAGAGAGTGGTGACATCACCGAGAATGCAGCCTATCCATTCACTAGAGAGCGATGACATCCTGAGAATGCAGCCTATCCATTCACTAGAGAGCGATGACATCACTGAGAATGCAGCCTATCCATTCACTAGAGAGCGGTGACATCACTGAGAATGCAGAATATCCATTCACTAGAGAGCGGTGATATCACTGAGAATGCAGCCTATCCATTCACTAGAGAGCGATGACATCACTGAGAATGCAGCCTATCCATTCACTAGAGAGCGATGACATCACTGAGAATGCAGCCTATCCATTCACTAGAGGTCGGTGACATCACCGAGAGAACGCAGCCTAATCATTCACTGATGAGAATTTTTCGAGCTGACCTCACTGAGAATGCTGACTGCCTGCCTATCCCACGGAGAAAGGGGGTCCTGGCCTGGATGACATACATGGTGATGGGGCTGTGGTTGTCCATTCACTAGAGAGCGGCATCACTGAGAACGACAGCTGTGCGGTGGGTGATGTCAGTGATCAGCCTCCATTCACTAGTCAGCCTAGCATCACTAGGGGGATGCCGGGAATGCAGCCTATCCGTTCCTGAAATGACATCACTGAGAATACAAAAAGGAAATGAAAAGCTACCAAACAGATGATGGGTGGATGAGAATGACAGCCTGTTCGGGGGGATTAGTGCTAGGTTGAGGTGATCCTTGGAGGGGTAGAGGGCATCAGCTGGGAGGGGGGATCTGAAATATACAAGAGGATTTGAGCTAGATGGGGGGATTTGGGAAGGGGGAGGATTCAAGCTAGGAGGAGGGATTTGGGGGAGAGAGGATTTGAGCTGGGAGGGGGGATCTAGGGAGAGAGGATTTGAGGTGGGAGGGGGGATTTGGGAAGGGAGAAGGATTCAAGCTGGGAGGGGGGATTTGGGGAGAGAGAGGATTTGAGCTGGGAGGGGGGATCTGGGGAGGGAGAGGATTTGAGCTGGGCGGGGGATTTGGAGAGAGAGAGGATTTAAGCTGGGGGGGGGATCTGAGGAGGAAGACGATTTAAGCTGGGAGGGGGGATCTGAGGAGGGAGACGATTTAAGCTGGGAGGGGGGATTTGTGGAGAGAGTGGATTTGAGCTGGGAGGGGGGATCTAGGGATGAAAAGGATTTGAGGTGGGAGGGGGGATTTGGGAAGGGAGAAGATTCAAGCTGGGAGGGGGGATTTGGGGAGAGAGAGGATTTGAGCTGGGAGGGGGGATCTGGGGAGGGAGAGGATTTGAGCTGGGCGGGGGATTTGGAGAGAGAGAGGATTTAAGCTGGGAGGGGGGATCTGAGGAGGAAGACGATTTAAGCTGGGAGGGGGGATCTGAGGAGGGAGACGATTTAAGCTGGGAGGGGGGATTTGTGGGGAGAGAGGATTTGAGCTGGGAGGGGGGATCTAGGGATGAAAAGGATTTGAGGTGGGAGGGGGGATTTGGGAAAGGAGAAGATTCAAGCTGGGAGGGGGGATCTGGGGAGGGAGAGAATTTAAGCTGGGAGGGGGGATTTGTGGAGAGAGTGGATTTGAGCTGGGAGGGGGGATCTAGGGAGGAAAAGGATTTGAGCTGGGAGGGGGGATCTGGGGAGGGAGAGAATTTGAGCTGGGAGGGGGGATTTGTGGAGAGAGTGGATTTGAGCTGGGAGGGGGGATCTAGGGAGGAAAAGGATTTGAGCTGGGAGGGGGGGGATCTAGGGGCAAAAGGAATTCATGCTTAGGAGGTAATTTTGATGATTAGTGCTCAATTTTTTTTGGGGGGGGAGGGAGTACCACTTGGTATCTTCATCCTGGGCAAACAATGGCCTTGACCTGCCACTAAGTCCCCTGCTGACCTTCCTGCCCCTCCTTACCCCGGACGATGAGATCGGCCCCCGCGGACAGCTTGTCTACGCTGGTGTGGACCAGGCAGATGTATTTCCCAGCATGCTTCAGTTGGATGCTTCTTATCATTAAATCTCCGGCCGAATCTTGCTGAAAACAGAAAGAAAAGGTGAGAAAAGTCCCATCACCAGGAAATCGATGTCCCCACCCCCACACTGACCCCAACGGTGTCACCGGCATGGGAGGCCAAATCCACTGCCGACTGGAGTCCGCCCCCATGCTCATAAACTCATATACTCCTCCCACTCGCTCATACTTACTCCTCCCACTCGCTCACATTTCTATGGCGCTCATACTTACTCCTCCCACTCGCTCTCATTTGTATGGAGCTCATACTTACTCCTCCCACTCGCTCACATTTGTATGGAGCTCATACTTACTCCTCCCACTCGCTCACATTTGTATGGAGCTCATACTTACTCCTCCCACTCGCTCACATTTCTATGGCGCTCATACTTACTCCTCCCACTCGCTCATACTTACTCCTCCCACTCGCTCACATTTGTATGGCGCTCATACTTACTCCTCCCACTCGCTCACATTTCTATGGCGCTCATACTTACTCCTCCCACTCGCTCACATTTCTATGGCGCTCATACTTACTCCTCCCACTCGCTCACATTTCTATGGCGCTCATACTTACTCCTCCCACTCGCTCACATTTCTATGGCGCTCATACTTACTCCTCCCACTCGCTCACATTTCTATGGCGCTCATACTTACTCCTCCCACTCGCTCATACTTACTCCTCCCACTCGCTCTCATTTGTATGGCGCTCATACTTACTCCTCCCACTCGCTCATACTTACTCCTCCCACTCGCTCTCATTTGTATGGCACTCATACTTACTCCTCCCACTCGCTCACATTTCTATGGCGCTCATACTTACTCCTCCCACTTGCACACATTTCTATGGCGCTCATACTTACTCCTCCCACTCGCTCACATCTCTAAGGCGCTCATACTTACTCCTCCCACTCGCTCATATTTCTATGGTGCTCATACTTACTCTCCTCCCACTCGCTCACATTTCTATGGCGCTCATACTTACTCCTCCCACTCGCTCACATCTCTAAGGCGCTCATACTTACTCCTCCCACTCGCTCACATCTCTAAGGCGCTCATACTTACTCCTCCCACTCGCTCACATCTCTAAGGCGCTCATACTTACTCCTCCCACTCGCTCACATTTTTCTACTAAGGCGCTCATACTTACTCCTCCCACTCGCTCACATTTGTATGGAGCTCATACTTACTCCTCCCACTCGCTCACATTTGTATGGCGCTCATACTTACTCCTCCCACTCGCTCACATTTCTATGGCGCTCATACTTACTCCTCCCACTCGCTCACATTTGTATGGAGCTCATACTTACTCCTCCCACTCGCTCACATTTCTATGGCGCTCATACTTACTCCTCCCACTCGCTCATACTTACTCCTCCCACTCGCTCACATTTGTATGGCGCTCATACTTACTCCTCCCACTCGCTCACATTTCTATGGCGCTCATACTTACTCCTCCCACTCGCTCACATTTCTATGGCGCTCATACTTACTCCTCCCACTCGCTCACATTTCTATGGCGCTCATACTTACTCCTCCCACTCGCTCACATTTCTATGGCGCTCATACTTACTCCTCCCACTCGCTCACATTTCTATGGCGCTCATACTTACTCCTCCCACTCGCTCATACTTACTCCTCCCACTCGCTCTCATTTGTATGGCGCTCATACTTACTCCTCCCACTCGCTCATACTTACTCCTCCCACTCGCTCTCATTTGTATGGCACTCATACTTACTCCTCCCACTCGCTCACATTTCTATGGCGCTCATACTTACTCCTCCCACTTGCACACATTTCTATGGCGCTCATACTTACTCCTCCCACTCGCTCACATCTCTAAGGCGCTCATACTTACTCCTCCCACTCGCTCATATTTCTATGGTGCTCATACTTACTCCTCCCACTCGCTCACATTTCTATGGCGCTCATACTTACTCCTCCCACTCGCTCACATTTCTATGGCGCTCATACTACTTACTCCTCCCACTCGCTCACATCTCTAAGGCGCTCATACTTACTCCTCCCACTCGCTCACATCTCTAAGGCGCTCATACTTACTCCTCCCACTCGCTCACATCTCTAAGGCGCTCATACTTACTCCTCCACTCGCTCACATTTCTAAGGCGCTCATACTTACTCCTCCCACTCGCTCACATTTGTATGGAGCTCATACTTACTCCTCCCACTCGCTCACATTTGTATGGCGCTCATACTTACTCCTCCCACTCGCTCACATTTCTATGGCGCTCATACTTACTCCTCCCACTCGCTCACATTTCTATGGCGCTCATACTTACTCCTCCCACTCGCTCACATTTCTATGGAGCTCATACTTACTCCTCCCACTCGCTCACATTTCTATGGCGCTCATACTTACTCCTCCCACTCGCTCATACTTACTCCTCCCACTCGCTCTCATTTGTATGGCGCTCATACTTACTCCTCCCACTCGCTCATACTTACTCCTCCCACTCGCTCTCATTTGTATGGCGCTCATACTTACTCCTCCCACTCGCTCACATTTCTATGGCGCTCATACTTACTCCTCCCACTTGCACACATTTCTATGGCGCTCATACTTACTCCTCCCACTCGCTCACATCTCTAAGGCGCTCATACTTACTCCTCCCACTCGCTCATATTTCTATGGTGCTCATACTTACTCCTCCCACTCGCTCACATTTCTATGGCGCTCATACTTACTCCTCCCACTCGCTCACATTTCTATGGCGCTCATACTTACTCCTCCCACTCGCTCATATTTCTATGGTGCTCATACTTACTCCTCCCACTCGCTCACATTTCTATGGCGCTCATACTTACTCCTCCCACTCGCTCATATTTCTATGGTGCTCATACTTACTCCTCCCTCTCGCTCACATTTCTATGGCGCTCATACTTACTCCTCCCACTCGCTCACATCTCTAAGGCGCTCATACTTACTCCTCCCACTCGCTCACATCTCTATGGCGCTCATACTTACTCCTCCTACTCGCTCACATCTCTAAGGCGCTCATACTTACTCCTCCCACTCGCTCACATTTCTAAGGCGCTCATACTTACTCCTCCCACTCGCTCACATTTCTATGGCGCTCATACTTACTCCTCCCACTTGCTCACATCTCTAAGGCGCTCATACTTACTCCTCCCACTCGCTCACATTTTCTATGGCGCTCATACTTACTCCTCCCACTCGCTCTCATTTGTATGGCGCTCATACTTACTCCTCCCACTTGCTCACATCTCTATGGCGCTCATACTTACTCCTCCCACTCGCTCACATTTCTATGGCGCTCATACTTACTCCTCCCACTCGCTCACATTTCTAAGGCGCTCATACTTACTCCTCCCACTCGCTCACATTTCCATGGTGCTCATACTTACTCCTCCCACTCGCTCTCATTTGTATGGCGCTCATACTTACTCCTCCCACTCGCTCATACTTACTCCTCCCACTCGCTCATAATTACTCCTCCCACTCGCTCACATTTCTTTGGGGCTCATACTTACTCCTCCCACTCGCTCTCATTTGTACGGCACTCATACTTACTCCTCCCACTGGCTCATACTTACTCCTCCCACTTGCTCACATTTGTATGGCGCTCATACTTACTCCTCCCACTCACTCTCATTTGTATGGCGCTCATACTTACTCCCCCCCCCTCGCTCATACTTACTCCTCCCACTCGCTCATACTTACTCCTCCCACTCGCTCAAAGTGTTCCCCGTCTTTCTGGAAGTCGATGAGTTGTCCATTGAAGACCCAGGAGAAGGAGATGTCCAGCGAGTGGTCATGTGACACCTGGCAGGGCAGGACGATGCTCTCCCCGACCGTGACGTCCATGCTGGATGGGGGGACCAGGACCTGCGTGGGGTCTGACACAGGACCACAGACATTACAAGCCGTACGTTTACCCAGCCGACCTTCCATTCTATCCAATGACTGATGGATCGGGAACCTGCAACTGCTAAACTCCTCCCCTCAGAGACAGATTAAGCAGGCTTCTTACAGTGCTCCTGGGAGGGTACAATGACATTGGCCTGACGTGGTCCATAGTGAGTCAATGAGGCCACAAGTGTTCCCTCCCCTTTGGGTACATACAGCTACAAGGAGGAGAATCTTCCACCCCACCTCACTGGTCTGGTGCTGACAGCTGCTGGGTCCGGATGGACCCAAACTCATCACTAATCAGAACTGAAGTAAAGATTTTTGTTTTCAGGCAGAGGAGCATTCTATACATTAACAACTGAGAAGAATTTTCACGTCTACCTGTCTAATTATGACTGCTCTGCTGAAAAATGCCTCTTGTTTACAGAGCTCAATAGCTCATGCCTAAAGCTCAGGATGTGTTAGAGAAGCGGCTCCTCCTCTGTTCATGACTCTTCAGACCTTGGGAAGATCCAGGGGTTAGCGCCACACAGAGATCACAGGATTCCCCTGACAACGCCTTCATCTGCTTCTCTCTCCAGAACGATGGAGACGTCTTTTTTTTTTTCAGGTCATCATTTACTTTCTAGACTGAGAAGCCAACTCAGAGATGACACCATCATGTAAATCCTGGAGCCTGGGTAGTTCTTGGCTGTGTTCACGAATGTCTGACACAGATCAGCCTCTGCTGCAGCCTCTCACCTTTTCACTTGCTACAAAGTTACAATGTACAGTCTGATCACTGCGGGAGGGGAGACTGAGGCAAAAGTGTACAGTCTCCTCCTCCTTCTACAAATTTACAATGTACAGTCTGATCACTGGGGGAGGGGAGACTGAGGAAATGCCTCCTCCTCCTTCTACAAAATTACAATGTACAGTCTGATCACTGGGGGGAGGAGACGAGGAATATGCCTCCTCCTCCTTCTAGGAAATGACTCCTCCTCCTCCTTCTACAAAGTTACAATGTACAGTCTGATCACTGGGGGAGGGGAGACTGAGGAAATGCTCCTCCTCCTTCTACAAAGTTACAATGTACAGTCTGATCACTGGGGGGAGGAGACTGAGGAAATGACTCCTCCTCCTCCCACAAAGTTACAATGTACAGTCTGATCACTGGGGGGAGGAGACTGAGGAAATGCCTCTTCCTGCCTGCAGCAGACTGATGACATCACCTCAGTCTATGCTGGATACCAAAGGTGGATGTTTAATGCTAGACGGTGGAGCTTTTCTGAGATGTAAAGGGTCCACTTTAGCCCACTGACCCCCCCGGAGTACTCAGAGAAGGATTCCTGACTATACTCTGAATTTCCTGCTCTGGGTCAGTGACTATGAAAGTATTGAAGTCGGAGGGTCAGCCAGGCGATTAGCATTTCTGCAGGAGGTCAGTGATGGAAGCCGCCCTCATTCTCCCAGGGAAGGTTCCTCTGAGTAGACCGTCTGGTATTCCGTTGCGGCAAATCCTCCTCATCATCTGTGGGATCAGGTGGAGGCGCAGAGCTCTCTATTCCTTGGATTACGTCTCTAATCTGCCCTGATATGTACAGCGCGAGGACGTCATCTTCCTCCATCCAGGACAGTTCATGGGAAGGTCAGGGAAGAGGCTTCCCACATTACGAGGATCCGGGGACCGCCAGAAATATGGGGCCCCAACACCCTGAAATCTGATTTGTTTCCCCGGAGAATACCACGAGGAACGACCTTCTGCAATCTCCAGGATTTATTCCTACAACCTTCCCACTATGAGGAAGGAAGATTCTGGGAGGCAGGAAGAGGAAACCTTCCACTGAAGTCATCCCTCACCTTTCACCACCAAAGTGCCGGTGCTGCTGGCCGTGCCGAAGTGATTGCTGGCTGTACAGGTGTAGCTGCCGGCATCCGCCTTGGTGAGGTTGAAGATCTTCAGACTTCCGTCATCCAAGACTGAGACTCTGGAATACAGAGAGGAGCCGGAGGTTATAGGAGGAAGGGGGGGGGGGGGATGGATGGATGGAGACATGGATGGATGGATGGATGGAGACATGGATGGATGGATGGAGACATGGATGGATGGATAGATAGATGGATAGATGGATGGATGGAGAAATGGATGGATGGATGGATGGATGGATGGAGACATGGATGGATGGATGGAGACATGGATGGATGGATGGATGGAGACATGGATGGATGGATGGAGACAAGGATGGATGGATAGATAGATGGATGGATGGAGAATCGATGGATGGATAGATAGATAGATAGATAGATAGATGGATAGATAGATAGATAGATAGATAGATAGGAGAGATGGATAGATAGATGGATGGAGACATGGATGGATGGAGACATGGATGGATGGATGGATGGAGGGAGACAAGGATGGATGGATGGAGAAATGGATGGATGGATGGATGGATGGATGGAGACAAGGATGGGTGGAGAATTGGATGGATGGATGGAAGGAGACAAGGATGAATGGATGGAGGAAGACAAGGATGGATGGATGGATGGAAGGAAACATGGATAGATGGATGGAGGGATGGAATGGATAGATGGATGGATGGAGACATGGATGGATGGAGACAAGGATGGATGGAGAAATGGATGGATGGAGACATGGATGGATGGAGACAAGGATGGATGGAGACAAGGATGGATGGAGACAAGGATGGATGGATGGAGAAATGGATGGATGGAGACAAGGATGGATGGACAAGGATGGATGGAGACAAGGATGGATGGATGGAGAAATGGATGGATGGATGGAGGATGGAGAAATGGATGGATGGATGGAGACAAGGATGGATGGATGGAGGGATGGAAGGAAACATGGATGGATGGAAACATGGATGGATGGATGGATGGGATGGAAGGAAACATGGATGGATGGATGGATGGATGGAGGGATGGAATGGATAGATGGATGGGGACCTTGCTCTGAATATTAGGAAGGTGTTTTCAGTTTGTGGTTCCTCATCAGATGCGGGTGACTTCCTTTCCCTGATCTGTCCAATCACATCCTTCACACACCATCCACCCTCCAGAGAAGGTGAGCGCTCACAGGGGGACAATGGATGACTATCAGGGAGATTTCTGCACCAAAGCGCGAGGACGTTCCTGGCCAGAGGAAGTGACATCACACCCACACATTCTCCTTTAGATCTCCAGCAGCTACCAGAGGGAAGACTCCGCCCACTCTGGGGGTTCTGCTCTTTTTTGGGGGTTCGCCCAGTTTGGGGGTTTTGGGGGAATCTGCCCACTCTGGGAGTTCTCCTCATTCTTGGGGTTCTGCCCAGTTTGGGGGTTCTGCCCACTCTGGGGGTTCTGCTCATTCTGGGGGTTCTTTGGGGGTTTTGGGGGATCTGCCCACTCTGGGGGTTCTGCTCATGGGGGTTCCCCAGTTTGGGGGTTTTGGGGGATCTGCCCACTTGGGAGTTCTCCTCATTCTGGGGGTTCTGGTTTGGGGGTTTTGGGGGATCTGCCCACTCTGGGGGTTCTGGGGTCCAATCTGGGGGTTCTGTCCATTCTGGGGTCCCTTTGCATGTCACTTTTTCACAATAAATCTTTGCTGCAGAATGAGACGACCCCCCCGGCCTGAGCGACTTTTTGGCTGCTAAAGCTCAGCATGTTCAGCAATTTACAAGGTTTGTTTTTTGTTTAAGAACAACCCGCGTTCACTTTTTTCTCCCAAGCTGCAAATCTCCCGTAGGCTCCTCCATCTACATGCACTTCAGCGACTGCGACGCGGCCACGGCGAGCGTGATGTGCGTTTCCCTCCAAGATTTGTACTGATCTCTCGTCTTTATAGCTTACATTTAATCTGCTTATATTTTTCCATCCCCCTTCCCCTCCCCCTCCCCTCCCCCCCTCCCTCAGCAACATGATAACAACATTTTACATAAAACCTTTCCATTTTTATTACATACCACAGTGATGTCATCACTGGGTCTCTGCGCTTCTCAATGTCATGCAGGCAGATCATGGCTGGTGGGAGGGGCCAGCAGGGGGCTGTACATAGTTCCTGAAAACATCCCAGCCCCCTGCCTCAGTACTCCTCTGCAGAGCCCTCAGTCCTGATGCACGCAGTGGGAGGAGTTATGCAAATATCAAAACGCCTTGATGGGTGGGTGTCAGTCTGGAGGAGTGAGCATTCCTATGTAGGCTGTATTTGCATAAGTAACACCCACATGTGATGCTGAGCCTCCATGATTGGGAGAAATTAAATCCAATAGATGAAAGGGGTGGGGCCGGGGATAGTCAGGCTGCAGAGGAAAGCACTAGATGATGCTGGGCGTCCTCCAGCCAGGAAATGAGGCGGAGCTCTGACTGGCTGCAGCTTCCAATGCCAGCAGGTACACCTGTACAAGACTGAAGGGGCGGAGCCTGTTTACCTGTGCAAGACTGAAGGGTGGAGCCGGTACACCTGTGCAAGACTGAAGGGGAGGAGCCGGTACACCTGTGCAAGACTGAAGGGGAGGAGCCGGTACACCTGTGCAAAACTGAAGGGGAGGAGCCGGTACACCTGTGCAAGACTGAAGGGGAGGAGCCGGTACACCTGTGCAAGACTGAAGGGGAGGAGCCGGTACACCTGTGCAAAACTGAAGGGGCGGAGCAGGTACACCTGTGCAAGACTGAAGGGGCGGAGCAGGTACACCTGTGCAAGACTGAAGGGGAGGAGCCGGTACACCTGTGCAAGACTGAAGGGGAGGAGCTGGTACACCTGTGCAAGACTGAAGGGGAGGAGCCGGTACACCTGTGCAAGACTGAAGGGGAGGAGCCGGTACACCTGTGCAAGACTGAAGGGGAGGAGCCGGTACACCTGTGCAAGACTGAAGGGGAGGAGCCGGTACACCTGTGCAAGACTGAAGGGGAGGAGCCGTACACCTGTGCAAGACTGAAGGGGAGCTAGTACACCTGAGCCTGAAGGTACCAGTACACCTGTTCAAGTAAGAGCCGGTGTGCAAGGGGGGAGGAGCCGGTACACCTGTGCAAAACTGAAGGGGAGGAGCCGGTACACTGTGCAAGACTGGGGGGAGGAGCAGGTACACCTGTGTAAGACTGGGGGGAAGAGCCTGTGCAAGACTGGAGGGGGGATGGTGGTCTGATTTCTCATTGGCCGGTTGGATAGAAGGATATTTTGGAGTCGGGATTCTGTAGTGGAGATGAGGGACGGACAGGAGACGTCTCTTGGTGTGCCTCCCCCGCTGCACTCGGAGTTCCAGGAGAATATAATACATATAGGAAGGTGAGCGGCGAGGATGATGGCGACACTTCAAAGACACGAAAGGTAACAACGCGATGCAGACAAGAAAGCGGAAGTGAAGGAACATTATTTTGCTTCCACTGTGTGATGAGACACCTAGGACTTGCTTTCCTCATTCGCTGCGTGCGATGCCAGTAATATACGGAGTCATGTCAGAGCTGAGCTTCAAAGGCGGCAAAAGGAACATTGTTGGTGCCGCTCAGCTGGTGGCGCTGTGACTGAAGTCACCGATTTATTTGCCGTGTGCTGAGGTTCAGTATGAAAGGTTACGGCGGCGTATGCAGCTTCCGGGAAAAAACCGGCGCCTGAAAAGCATAAGCCCAGCCCACATGGTCACCTGGCCGAAAAATAGAAGGACATTGCGCAGGACTGTGACCTGAAATAGGGAGACAACAAAAGGGACTGCAGGGGCTTCACGGGACGGAGATTGAGCTCTGCAGTCACTTTTGCAGAAGTTTGTTTTCCTATTCTAACAGGCTCTCTTCCTATGATCTCCAGCTCCATCTACTGGCCATAATGCAGTATTGTCCTGATTGAGTTATTTCAGGAAAATAACACATTATGTCCACTAGATGGAGCTGGATCATCGGAAGCATATTAGACATGTATATGGATTATATGCAATGGCTGCGAGAATGAAGGAAGGACGGAGGGAAGGCGGGGAGGAAGGGGAGGAGGAAGGAAGAAAGGGAGGAAGGAAGGAGGGGGGAGGGAGGGAGGAAGGAAGGAGGAGGGAAGGCGGGAAAGTGGGAAGGAAGGGAGGTGGTGAAAGGAAGGAAGGAAGGAAGGGGAGGGAGGAAGGAAGGAAGGGAGGGGAGGAAGGAAGGGAGGGGAGGAAGGAAGGAAGGGAGGAAGAAGGAAGGGAGGGAGGAAGGAAGGGGGAGGGAGGAAGGAAGGGAGGGAGGAAGGAAGGGAGAAAGGAAGGAAGGGAGAAAGGAAGGAAGGAAGGAAGGGAGGAAGGAAGGGAGGAAGGAAGGAAGGAAGGAAGGGAGGAAGGGAGGGGAGGAAGGAAGGGAGGGAGGAAGGGAGGGAGGAAGGAAGGAAGGGAAGGAAGGGAGGGAAGGAAGGAGGGAGGGGATGGAAGGAGAGAGGGAAGCAGGGAAGGAGGGAGGGAAGGAAGGAGGGAAGGAGGGAGGGAGGAAGGAGGGGGAGGGAAGCAGGGAAGGAGGGAGGGAAGGGAAGGAAGGAGGGGAAGGAGGGAGGGAAGGAGGGAGGGAAGGAAGGAGGGAGGGAAGGAAGGAGAGAGGGAAGCAGGGAAGGAGGGAAGGAAGGAAGGAAGGAAGGAAGGAAGGATGAGGGAGGGAAGGAGGGAAGGAGGGAGGGAAGGAGGGAGGAATGGAATGGAATGCTCCATACAGCTGCACCACTTTAGTCAGTCATGACGTCTAAGAAGCAATTTCAGGTCTCACTGCAACTCCGAAACAATATAAAGAATAAATGATTGACGATTCGCTGATTCTTGTCCATCCAGAAATTTAGGGAAAACGATATCATTCCTCCAGCTGGTTGCGCTGGGAATGCGTCTCACATGAAATGAGGTTCCGCTCCGGTGGGAACCCAAAATTGTTCAAATCATAAAAAGCCTACAACAGCAGCAGTGCCCGACCAAATCATTCATCTTCTCTCTACAGCATCCAAAAGCACACATTGTATACAGCATTTCTGAGCTCCAGAAGGCGAGGGGGGGGGGATCTGATATCACAAACTGAACAGCATACAGTAGATCAGGGAGCTGAGTGTAATCTGAGACCAGAGTGCAGGAAAAAGATATACCCCTCTGTACATAGTCTCACAGGGTAACGTACAGCTGATGCTGTGTGCTTGGCAGGGTGGGAGGCTCAGGGGGTGTTCCTAGGATTGTCTGGTGTCAGCCTAGACTGGCAGGAGTGACTCATGCTGATAGTAGAGAGCAGGCAGAAATCAAACTCAGTGCTTTGGATTGAGGCAAGGACACAGTATAGAAGGATGCTTTTTGTTCATTTTTCATTTTGGAGGTCTACAACCACTTTAAAAGTCCTCCAGCACATCCCTTTACCTTATAGTCATAATGTTTATATTTATTTTGTAGTCCTGGTGACGGAGGAGTGCTGTTGGCCCCCGAATCGTGTTGGTTTGATGTGATCATATGATGACCAATTAAAGCAATTTGGACCCTTCAGCTTTTGGTCAGTTACTGCTGTTGTCGATTTTATCCAACGACAGAGAAGACGTCCCACATCTACTTGTCTATGGTTGGCCAAAAGATACTTCTGAGTCCTTCTACTTATAGCGGATTCCTTACAGAAATCTATGAGCCTTCTCTAGGAATCATCACAAATGTATTATGAGAAGGAACCAGACCCACCGACCACGAAATAAACAACAGAAAGCCAACAATTGTCACTGAAGAGGGCGAAGCCTCAGTTATAAGGGCAGCTTTCCAAAAAACGTAAGTTATGCAGGAATAGTGAGGAAACATTTTGGAAAACTGCCTTCATTGGCCTAGGCTGAAGGAGGCATGAGGTCTTCAAAACATTCCTCATCATTTTTCTCAATATCTGTTACGGTCAGGGGTCAGGCTCAGAGCCCAGTAGGTGTAGCAGTAAAGATGAAGCCCACCAACCAGCTGGATAAGTACTCAAGCAGGTCACCCTGGTGGATGATGCGGGGTCACCCGAGATGTGGGGTCTATGCACTAGTCTATGTGAGGTGTATTCACCAGAGCTCCTGAGGGGTGGAGATGGGTTTTGCTGCATGTAAGTACCAAGTCGGTCCTCGGGATCGCCCCACCAGGAGGTGAGCAAGGCGGGGTCCAGTAGCAGACATAGCAGGTAGGGATCAAGCAGAAGCATAGTCAGTAAACAAGCCAAAGGTCAGTAACAAGTGGTTGCAGGTTGGGGTCAAGCAGAAGCGTAGTCAAGGAACAAGCCAAAGGTCGGTAACAAGTGGTTGTAGGTTGGGATCAAGCAGAAGTGTAGTCAAGGAACAAGCCAAAGGTTGGTAACAAGTGGTTGCAGGTTGGGATCGAGCAGAAGCGTAGTCAAGGAACAAGTCAAAGGTTGGTAACAAGTGGTTGCAGGTTGGGATCAAGCAGAAGCCTAAACGAGGAACAAGTCAAAGGTTGGTAACAAGTGGTTGCAGGTTGGGATCGAGCAGAAGCGTAGTCAAGGAACAAGTCAAAGGTCGGTAACAAGTGGTTGTAGGTTGGGATCAAGCAGAAGCATAGTAGAGGAACAAGCCAAAGGTTGGTAACAAGTGGTTGCAGGTTGGGGTCAAGCAGAAGCATAGTAGAGGAACAAGCCAAAGGTCAGTAAAAAGTGGTGGATGACGCAGGCTCAACCGAGGTGTGGGGATCTATGCACTAGTCTATGTGAGGTGTATTCACCAGAGCTCCTGAGGGTGGAGAAGGGTTTTGCTGCATGTTAGTACCAGGTCGGTCCTCAGAATCGCCCCACCAGGAGGTGAGCAAGATGGGATCCAGTAGCAGACATAGCAGGTAGGGATCAAGCAGAAGTGTAGTCAAGGAACAAGCCAAAGGTCGGTAACAAGTGGTTGTAGGTTGCGGTCAAGCAGAAGCGTAGTCGAGGAACAAGCCAAAGGTCAGTAACAAGTGGTTGTAGGTTGGGGTCAAGCAGAAGCGTAGTCGAGGAACAAGCCAAAGGTCAGTAACAAGTGGTTGTAGGTTGCGGTCAAGCAGAAGCGTAGTCGAGGAACAAGCCACAGGTCGGCAATGAGTGGTAGTGGAGATGAGGACAGCTGCAGGCATGCAAAGAGTAAGATATTGGCTGGAGAGAGGACAATATTCTGGTAAACAGGAAGTGCAAAGGCATGACCTAAATCAGGAAGTTCATGGGAGGAGCAAAGAGTTCAAGGTTCACCAGAAACAAGAGGCAAGGAAAGGTTGTCCTAAGAGATCAGACAGGGAGCTGGCCAGAAAACCACAGAGGTCGCAGGTTCATATCCGGACCCTGACAATACCTTCAGCCAAAACTCTTAAATGATGACAGGAACACCCCATGCAAGTGGCAGTGTAGAGACAACAACTCCACCACACCGCAATTCTGCTGAAATCAGGAAGTTCTCTGTAATGTAGCTGGAATCCAGAGAGCTCCTCACAGGGTCCCTTCCCAAAGCCTGAACACGGTTACTTGCTGTCCTTTGTCTCCAGTAGTGGTGAGGTTGGGTTGGGGATTGGATTCATTCAAAAACCCAAATTCATTGAACCTGGAAGATAACCACCAATGCTGAGACCTATGGCCACCCTAGGTCAATAATGTCACCAATATTTAGGCCCCTTTGTATACAATCAGTGGTGTGGTTGGGAACCTCCCACCCGCAGCTCATTGGCCCAGCAATGACAGGTTCAGACTAAACCCAAGCTCCTCCCCAATTATCAGTCACATTCCCAAGGTATATTGGAACCTATTTGATGGCTTTCAGAAAGTTCTTACTTTGGCCTTTCTGTATATAAGAGACAGCGAAGGGCCTGCAGTGGTCGTGTTTGGGAATCCTCCTACATCACACGCCGGGGGGTTCCCAGATTACCAGGGAGAGGGTGGGCTGGAGCACTACAGCCGAAGTGAAGAATTGAAGTCCCATGCTGGTAGAATGTGCCCCCCCCCAATTTATCTCCAGGTAATTTAGTCATGACTGGAGTGAACCTTTCAACCTTCTCGAATGATGGAATTAATTCATTCTTTTATGGAGCTTTATTTGCGCACTCACCTGGCGTTCGGCCGCACCAGGTCCCGCCCCTTCCTCCACGTGATGGTCGGTTTCGGGGATGCTCTGGGTTTGCACTCAATGAGGACGAATCCTCCCACTTTTCCCAGGGTGACTCTTCTGACGAATGCACTGGTGAAGTCGGGGCCAACCGCTACCAGAGGGGGAAAAAAATAAAGAATTAAATCGAACAAAGAGGACCTGTCACTACCGACTCACCAATCAAATCGAGTCCTGAAACCTTCAAATGTACCTTGTGGGTGACATCGACCAGTAGGCCTGACTCTGCTAAGAGGCCAATAGATACTCAATAGACTCTCCCATATCCTCCCCCCTCGAAGGATACCTCCCCCATATCCTCCCCCCTTGAAGGATACCTCCCCCATATCCCCCCCCCTCGAAAGATACCTCCCCCATATCCCCCCCCCTCGAACCTCCCCCATATCCTCCCCCTTGAAGATACCTCCCCCATATCCCCCCCCCTCGAAAGATACCTCCCCCATATCCTCCCCCCTGAAGGATACCTCCCCTATATACTCCCCCCCTTGAAGGATACCTCCCCCATATCCTCCCCCCCCTGAAGGATACCTCCCCCATATACCTCCCCCCCTTGAAGGATACCTCCCCCATATCCTCCCCCCCCCTTGAAAGATACCTCCCCTATATCCTCCCCCCCTTGAAAGATACCTCCCCCCTATACCTCTCCCCCCCCTCTTGAAGATACCTCCCCCATAATCCTCCCCCTTGAAGGATACTTCCCCCATCTTAAAGGATATCCCCCATATCCTCCCCCCCTTGAAGGATACCTCCCCCATATCCCCCCCCACAATCCCCCAAAAAGATGAGATATTTGTCTTTTGAGAGAGATATAAAGGAGAAATCCTGAACAGGATACGGGGAAGCCCCCCCACAGAAAGATGGACAATCCTTGGAGTGATACCTCCCCCATTCTCCTTCCTATGAGGGACACCAATGATCCCCCCCCTTGGCACTCCCCCATATCCTCCCCCCTTGACACCAATGATGGATACACTATTCCTCCCACTGACACCAAAAGATGGAGCACTATTCCTCCCCCCCTTGAAGGGGGCACTATTCCTCCCCACCCTGAAGGATACTTCCCCAATCCTCCCCCCCATGGGGCGCTATTTGTTCCACTGACACCAAAAGGAGATGGGGCGCTATTCCTCCCAGAAAACTGGACAACCAATGATGGGGCACTATCTCCTCCTACTAGGACACCAATGATGGGGCACTATTCCTCCCACTGATACCAATGATGGGGCACTATTCCTCCCACTGACACCAATGATGGGACACTATTCCTCCCACTGACACCAATGATGGGACACTATTCCCCCACTGACACCAATGATGGGACGCTATTCCTCCCACTGACACCAATGATGGGGCGCTATTCCTCCACTGACACCAATGATGGGGCGCTATTCCTCCCACTGACACCAATGATGGGACGCTATTCCTCCCACTGACACCAATGATGGGACGCTATTCCTCCCACTGACACCAATGATGGGACGCTATTCCTCCCACTGACACCAATGATGGGGCACTATTCCTCCCACTGACACCAATGATGGGGCACTATTCCTCCCACTGACACCAATGATGGGGCACTATTCCTCCCACTGACACCAATGATGGGGCACTATTCCTCCCACTGACACCAATGATGGGGCGCTATTCCTCCCACTGACACCAATGATGGGGCACTATTCCTCCCACTGACACCAATGATGGGGCACTATTCCTCCCACTGACACCAATGATGGGGCGCTATATTCCTCCCACTGACACCAATGATGGGGCGCTATTCCTCCCACTGACACCAATGATGGGGCTCTATTCCTCCCACTCATCTAATGTATCTCCAGTCTATGGCTGTCTCCTGGGTCATGTCCTCGGTCTCCATCGTACCCCATAGCATGTCGCTGTCTCTTGCAGGCTTTGACCGTCTATTGTCACATGTGGTGTAGCCCCTGACATCCTTCTGCAGTATTACATTTGCTGAACATTATGTCCGGCTCTTTGGTGACACCAGGGGCCACACTTCTGAGGTCTCCTGACCCCCCCCCCCGCTATAGAAATTGCAACAATGTATTTGGTTCTGCAGCTGCACAAATGTTCTCTCTGGACTTTCCTCTGTTGTCTGACCTGATAGATCCGCCAGAGCGAGCCCAGCCCCCTCCCCTGCCAAGAAAGGAGCCTTCCCCCCCCCAGCCCAGGCAGGACAACCCCCAAGGACACCCCCTGCTCACCGATCACCCTCAGCTCGGCACTGGAGTAGACGGTTCCGTGTTTGTTTTCGGCCAGGCACTGGTACATTCCGGAATCGGAGCTGTTCACCGACGTGATGGTCAGGCTGCCATGTTCAATCTGGAGGCGTCCCTGGGGAGCAGAGGAGAGGATGGTGTCAGAGCCGCAAAACTTCAACTGACCTGGAACAGCCAATGGGAAACATCGCAGAGACGCAGAGCGCCTGGAAACGTATGAGGCCGGGAAAAAGACCAGCCAATGATCAATAATTACCACCAATCGCAGCAACCGGGACCCTATCACCACGGCAACATCCACTGCAAACTTACCTGGAATGTGGCAGTTGGTAGATTTTCCCTCACTTCCTGCCTTGGTGACCACCAGGGTTTCTTTCTCAGAGAATATTTGAAGGTACTTCCCCCCTTGTCTCCGCCCCCTACCCATCTCTGACCACTGTTCCTTTGTTCCACCCTCTACCCACCTCAGAGCACCATCCCTTAGTTACGCCCCCTACACCACCCTTGGTTCCACCAGCACCCATCTGAGCCCTTGGTTACGCCCCCTACCCACCTCTGAGCACCGTCCCTTGGTTCCACCACCTACCCACCTCTGAGCACCGTCCTTCGGTTCCACCACCTACCCACCTCAGAGCACCGACCCTTGGTTCCACCACCTACCCACCTCTGAGCACTGTTCCTTGCTTCCCACCTACCCACCTCCACCAACCCACCTCTCTGAGCACCGTCCCTTGGTTACGCCCCCTACCCACCTCTGAGCACCATGCTTCGGTTCCACCACCTACCCACCTCTGAGCACCGTCCCTCGGTTCCACCACCTACCCACCTCTGAGCACTGTTCCTTGGTTCCACCACCTACCCACCTCTGAGCACCATCCTTGGTTCCACTCCCTACCCACCTCTGAGCACCGTCCTTTGATTCCACCCTCTACCCACCTCTGAGCACCGTCCCTTGGTTCCACCCCCTACCCACCTCTGAGCGCCATCCCTTGGTTCCACCCCCTACCCACGTTGAGCACCACCCCTACCCATGACCACCGTTCCTTGGTTCCACCATCCCTTACCCCCCCTCCCCACCTCAGAGCACCGTCCCTTGGTTCCACCACCTACCCACCTCTGAGCACTGTCCCTTGGTTCCACCCCTACCCACCTCTGAGCACCGTCCCTTGGTTCACCCCCCACCCACCTCTGAGCACCGTCCCTTGGTTACGCCCCCTACCCACCTCTGAGCACCCCTTGGTTCCACCCCCTACCCACCTCTGAGCACCGTCCCTTGGTTCCACCCCTACCCACCTCTGAGCACTGTCCTTGGTTCCACCACCTACCCACCTCTGAGCACCGTCCCTTGGTTCCACCCCTACCCACCTCTGAGCACCGTCCCTTGGTTCCACCCCTACCCACCTCTGAGCACCATCCCTTGGTTCCACCACCTACCCACCTCTGAGCACCATCCTTGGTTCCACCCCTACCCACCTCTGAGCACCGTCCCTTGGTTCCACCCCCTACCCACCTCTGAGCACCGTCCCTTGGTTCCACCCCTACCCACCTCTGAGCACCGTCCCTTGGTTCCACCCCCTACCCTTCTCTGAGCACCGTCCCTTGGTTCCACCCCCTACCCACCTCTGAGCACCGTCCCTTGGTTCCACCCCCTACCCACCTCTGAACACCGTCCCTTGGTTCCACCCCCCCACCCACCTCCCTGAGCACCCCATCCCTTTGGTTCCACCCCCTACCCACCTCTGAGCACCGTCCCTTGGTTCCACCCCCTACCCACCTCTGAACACCATTCCTTGGTTCTATCCCCTACTCCTCCAGCAACTATAGAAGACCCCCACCAGCAACAAGAGACCCCCCCAGAAACAATACATCCCCCATAATGATTTACACCCCTCAAGCATTAATACACCCACCCCAGCAACAATAGATCTCTCAACAGCCAGCAACTGTAGACACCTCCTTCAAGAGTAGATCCCTCCCAGCAACAGAAAACTCCCCCAGCAACAACTAAGCGCCAGCAACATTCCCCAAAAAAACAGACCTCCACCAGCAACAATAGATCCCCAGAAACAATACATGCCACATAACAATTTATACCCCCCAGCAACAATACATCCACCCCAGCAACAATAGACCCCCACAAGCCACAATAGATCTCTCAGCAGCCAGCATCAATATAACCTCCAGCAGCCAGGAACAATAGACACCCCCCCAAGAATACATCCCCCTCAGCAACACAAGGCTCCCCCAGCAATTTTAGAAGACCCCCCACCAGCATTAATAGATCCCCCAGCACCTCTTGCCATGACATAGATACAGTGCTGGAGGTGCCGGAGCTGTACCTCCGTTTCCTCTACATTACACACTTCCTCAGTGGCTGTCATGGATACACCCACCAATTGTGGGGTGCGGGGCAGACACCAAGCACCCGGCAGCACCCCAGTGTATGGATTGACAGATGATTGCTTAGCAGTGCAGGAATGTCTTTGCGTCATCCCCCCCCCCCAGCCCACAGTACATGAGCCCGACAGGAACTGACCACACATCGCATCATTTCACTAAACTCAAATACGTTTTATCTTGTGGTCATGTGATGTAGCCCATGTACCTCGGCACCTCACTGGGGGAGATTAGTGATGAAGCTTGGAGCCCAGTATGAAAGAACACGTCCCTGGCATTCCTTTAGACGTGCATACCTTTCCCTACTGGACACTGAGTGCTGCAGACTTTAGCTGTTTCAATCTGCAGGGCCGGGGTTCGACCAATCAATAAAGTTCATTCGGTGGGTGGTCCCTGCATGTTTAGAGGCAGGGTCTGGGCGGGACCAACCAATAATATTTATGTGATGGGTTCTCCCTGCACATTTAGAGGCGGAATCTGGGAGGGACCAACCAATGAAGTTTATGTGATGGGTGGTCCCTCCATATGCAGAGGCAGGGTCTTGGCGAGAGACCGACCAATAAAATGTATGTGATAAGTGGTCCCTGAATATTCAGAGGCAGACTATGGGTGGGACCAACCAATAAAGTTCATGTGATGGGTGGTCCTTGAATATTCAGAGGCAGGGTCTGGCTGGGACCAACCAATAAAGTCCAGGTGTTGGGTGGTCTCTGTATATTTAGAGGCAGGGTCTGGGCGACACCAACCAATAAAGTTCATCTGATGGGCAGGGTCTGGGTGGGATCAACCAATAATATTTATGTGATGGGTGGTCCCTGCACATTTAGAGGTGACATCTGGGAGGGACCAACCAATAAAATATATACGATAGGTGGCCCCTGAATTTTCAGTGGCAGGGTCTGGGAGGGACCAACTGTTAAAATCCAGGTAATGGGTGGTCCCTGCATATTTACAGGCAGGGTCTGGGTGGGACCAACCAATAATATTTATGTGATGGGTGGTCCCTGCATATTTACAGGCAGAGTCTGGTTGGGACCAACCAATAAAGTCTATGTCATATGGGTGAACCCTGCGTATTTAGAGGAAGAGCCTGGGTGTGACCATTCCCTAAAGTGGGCGTGGTTGGATCACACACCCCAAAATGGACAAATAACCAGGTTAACAATGTCCTGGCATCCTGGACCATAGTGTCAGTGTGGACACATATACAGTGTAGATATACTGTATATACATATATGTTGTCAGTAGGTGTATATAAATGAATGCAGAATTTAGTCGCACTGTATTGCACGCCGCCCCCCCTACCCCCCCACACACAATAATGGCCTTACTTTGCTCTGAAGCCGCTGCCCGTTCTTCAGCCAGGTATATGTTGGTTTCGGTCGCCCGCTGGCTTTACATTCCAGTAAAATGTTTTCCTCTATGGCGATATGGGCGTCGTTAATCTTCTGGACCCAACTGGGAGGAGCTGCAGATATAATCATCTTATCGCCATTTGTTACACATATTATAACCAAGCCACCCAGCCAATGGCACTCAATTCCAATACCCCCCCCCCCCCCCCCCCAAAAAAAACCTCATATTTATCACAGATAATCCCTTCACCAGAAAAAGTTTGTTTTAATGATTTATTGATTTTTGTTACATTTAAACGATGGATACTTTGAACTCCGGGGTGATAAATCCATCGGTCACGTGTCGTTTTCTGGAATCTCAGAGATCTTTGTGTATTTCTTCCAGATCTTTGCCGTCACAGAGACTTCCTGGAATAAAGACCGCTCGCTGCTGCTCTCTCCTTGTGCAGGTGGACTGGTCTTGCTCCACACCCCCTCCTGTAGTGGATGGAGCCAGCAGGGCCCCTCCCATAGCTCTGCTGTCTCTCTCCTTGTGCAGGGGGACTGGTCTGGTCTCCGCCCCCTCCTGTAGTGGATGGAGCCAGCAGGGCCCCTCCCATAGCTCTGCTCTCTCTCCTTGTGCAGGGGGACTGGTCTGGTCTTCGCCCCCTCCTGTAATGGATGGAGCCAGCAGGGCCCCTCCTACAGCTCTGCTCTCTCTCTTTGTGCAGGGGGACTGGTCTGTCTCCGCCCCCCCTCCTGTAGTGGGTGGAGCCAGCAGGGCCCCTCCTACAGCTCTGCTCTCTCTCTTTGTGCAGGGACACTGGTCTGGTCTCCGCCCCCTCCTGTAATGGATGTAGCCAGCAGGGCCCCTCCCACAGCTCTGCTCTCTCTCTTTGTGCAGGGACACTGGTCTTATCTCCGCCCCCCTCCTGTAGTGGGTGGAGCTTGTCAGATTCCTCCCACAGCTCTGCTCTCTCTCCTTGTACAGGGGGACTGGTCTGGTCTCTGCTGCCCCTCCTGTAGTGGGTGGAGCCTGTCAGGCCCCTCCCACAACTCTGCTCTCACCCCCTCCTGTAGTGTTCTGTGGTGGGTGGGGCCTGCTGTGCCCCTCCCACAGCTCTGCTCTCTCTCCTTGTGCAGGGGGACTGGTCTTGTCTCCGCCCCCCTCCTGTAGTGGGTGGAGCTTGTCAGATTCCTCCCACAGCTCTGCTCTCTCTCCTTGTACAGGGGGACTGGTCTGGTCTCTGCTGCCCCTCCTGTAGTGGGTGGAGCCTGTCAGGCCCCTCCCACAACTCTGCTCTCTCCCCCCCTCCTGTAGTTTTCTGTAATGGGTGGGGCCTGCCGTGCCCCTCCCACAACTCTGTTCTCTCCCCTTGTGCAGGGTATAGGATTAGAGCTTTTTTATGGTTGAACTGGATGGACTTTTGTCTTTTTTTCAGCCAGACTAACTATGTAACTATGTAAGGGTGACTAGTCTTGTCTCCGCCCCCCTCCTGGAGTGTTCTGGGTGGAGCCCCCTGATGTCACTGCTACTTTTACGAGGTAACATCTGGGGTTGCAAAGGCATGAAGTGCACATGAAGAAGGTTTATATACTTTGTGGTCATTGAAGATTATATTTGCGCTGGGAGTTCAGCTTTAATGCTCACAAATGATTTTGGGAAATCAAGGAACAGTCCACATCCATAGAAAAGTAATACAGCCGCCCGGGTGACCCGCTTACAAATGATAGCCAAGCCCTAGAAGTAAGAAATGGAAGATACAGAGACCGGGATCAGATGGAATCACATTGAATGGATCTGGAGGCATTTGAAACGTTGGGGGCTTCACTCTGGTTGATCGAGGGGTTCCCGGAATTGTGACTACACTTGGGATTGTTCTTTCATGTTATGTTTTCTTTTGAGCTGGGAAATGCCCCAAACGCTCTGCTTTGTAGAGTATTTTTCCAAAAACCAATAAAAACTATTTTGAAAAAAACAAAAAGTTTTGGGGGCTTTGGGCAGACAATGGATGAAGAGACATTGAATGAAGTCTTTGGTGGAGAAGCTTTGGAGGAGGATGACTCTCCTCACATTCATCAGTCAGAGGATGCTGGGAAATGGGTTCAGTCCTTCTTGTGTCCATGTGAAGGGATAACCAACACCCAGATCAGAGGGCCAAACCACTCCTCCATCTTTACATAGCTTGCTCAGAGAGTAGAGTTTTGGGAGGAGTCCAGTAGGCTCCACCCACTACAGAAATCTACAGGAGGGGGCGGAGAGAAGACTAGTCACCCTGCACAAGGACAGAGAGCAGAGCTGTGGGAGCGGTCCAGCAGGCTCCAACTACTATAGAAGGGGGTGGAGACAAGACCAGTCACCCTGCACAAGGAGAGAGAGCAGAGCTGTGGGAGGGGCCCAGCAGGCTCCACCCACTTTAGAAGGGAGCAGAGACAAGACCAGTCATCCTGCACAAGGAGAGAGAGCAGATCTGTGGGAGGGGCCACCAGGCTCCACCCACTATAGAAGGGGGCGGAGACAAGACCTGTCACCCTGCACAAGGACAGAGAGCAAAGCTGTGGGAGCGGTCCAGCAGGCTCTACTTACTATAGAAGGGGGCGGAGACAAGACCAGTCACCCTGCACAGGGAGAGAGAGCAGATCTGTGGGAGGGGCCAGCAGGCTCCACCCACTATATAAGGGGGCGGAGACAAGACCAGTCACCCTGCACAGGGAGAAAGAGGCAGATGTGTGGGAGGGGCCAGCAGGCTCCACCCACTATAAAAGGGGCAGAGACAAGATCAGTCACCCTGCACAAGGAGAGAGAGCAGATCTGTGGGAGGGGCCATCAGGCTCCACCCACTATAGAAGGGGGTTGGAGACAAGACCTGTTTTCCTGCACAAGGAGAGAGAGCAGATCTGTGGGAGGGGCCAGCAGGCTCCACTCACCATAGAAGGGGGTGGAGACAAGACCAGTTTTCCTGCACAAGGAGAGAGAGCAGCAGTGAGTGGTCTTTATTACAGGAAGTATCACAGCGAATGACGGCTCAGATCTGGAAGAAGACACACAAAGCTCACCGAGATTCTAGAAGATGACACGACCAATGGATTCACTTTACTTACTTATCCCAAAGTTGATCTGTAACCATTTGGTATTGTAGCGCATACCCCTCGGGGGTCCCACAGATTGGCCCCAGGTTCCCTTCCCTAGAGGATGCCAGGCACCCAGCAGCAAACAGTCTCCCGACTCAAGGACCAGGCAAGGAACGTCTTTGTGAGATCTAATGCTCGTTGAACTTGGATGGGCAGCAGGGTGGGGGGGGGGGGGGGGGGTTGGTGGAGGGGATTCAGTGGACAGAGAAAGGCGGCACAAGGCTGTTATCCAGGAAAATGCAGTTTGGGACAACCTTTCTGAAACTGGTGGAGAACTTTGGCCCCACCTGCCACCCACTTGTAATGCAGTTTTAGCATCATCACTCGGGTGATTGGACAACAATTTACACCCTCAGCCATGTAACAAACAATTAACACCCGTCCCAGACTGCATGGCACCACGATGATTGAATTAAGTTCATTAGAATGGAGCATTTCACAACTTTTCACACCTCCAGTCAGGTAGTAGGACCATCAACATCTGCCTGGTTCATAGTAACATGATGATTGGATTAACCATTTTACAGCTGCTGACTGAAGGGTTACAGTGGAGCCAAACCGCTTGTACAACGCCTGTCAGTAACCCTTTCAGTGGCTGTATTCCATTAGACTAGAAGCTCATAGTCACTACAGGGACCCTTAGCTCACAGTGGAGCGCCAGCTGAAACAGAGATTCTGCCAAATCAGGAATGGCCATCATCAGCGACTGAAAGGCCATCCATCATCGCCCAGCCTGACATTCATAAAAAAATTAGGACACCCCCCTCCATAATGCCAGTTCCCACCACTGTCCACCCTCCACTGCCACGCTGTGTTATCTGCTTCGCACTACCCCCTGATACCCTGTGTCTTCTTCATCTCACCAACGTCTTCTTCCCTCCCCCTGATGTATCTTCTGGCCCACCAATGTTTGCTCCACTCCCCCCAATGTCTCCTTCATTCCACCAATGTCTTCTTCCCTCCCCCAATGTCTCCTTCATTCCACCAATGTCTTCTTCCCTCCCCCAATGTCTCCTTCATTCCACCAATGTCTTCTTTCCTCCACCTGATGTCTCCTCTGTCCCACCAATGCTTGCTCCACTCCCCCAATGTCTCCTTCATTCCAACAATTTCTTCTTCCCTCCCTCTAATGTCTCCTCTGTCCCACCAATGTTTGCTCCACTCCCCCCCATTGTCTCCTTCATTCCACCAATTTCTTCTTCCCTCCCCCTGATGTCTCCTCTGTCCCACCAATGTTTCCTCCACTCCCCCAATGTCTCCTTCATTCCACCAATGTCTTCTTTCCTCCCCCTGATGTCTCCTCTGTCCCACCAATGCTTTGCTCCACTCCCCCAATGTCTCCTTCATTCCACCAATTTTCTTCTTCCCTCCCCCTGATGTCTCCTCTGTCCCACCAATGTTTCCTCCACTCCCCCCACCAATGTCTCCTTCATGTCTTCTTTCTCCCCCTGATGTCTCCTCTGTCCCACCAATGCTTGCTCCACTCCCCCAATGTCTCCTTCATTCCAACAACAATTTCTTCTTCCCTCCCTCTAATGTCTCCTCTGTCCCACCAATGTTTGCTCCACTCCCCCATTGTCTCCTTCATTCCACCAATTTCTTCTTCCCTCCCCCTGATGTCTCCTCTGTCCCACCAATGTTTCCTCCACTCCCCCAATGTCTCCTTCATTCCACCAATGTCTTCTTCCCTCCCCCTGATGTCTCCTCTGTCCCACCAATTTTTGCTCCACTCCCTTGTTCTCTCCTCCGTCCCACTGAGGTCTTCTCCGCTTCCCTAATTTATGCTCCCCCTGATGTCTCCTCTGGTCCCTCAATGTGTCCTCCATCCTCAATGTCTGCACCACCCTAGCAATGTTTTCCCTGCTTCTCTGATGTCTCCTTCCCATCCTTGGATGTCTCCTCTGTCCCCCAATGTCGTTTTCACTCCCCCCTGATGTCTCCTCCACTTCCCAACATCTCCATCCTACTAATCTCTGCCCCCCACCCCAAAAATGTCTCCTCAATCCCACTGAAGTTTTCTTTGCTTCAGTGATGTCTTCTCCACTTCCTCGATGTCTCCTCCATCCCACCAATGTCTTCTCTGCTCCTTAGATGTTTCCTCTGTCCCACCAATGTCTTCTCATTTCCCATTGACATCTCCTCTGTCCCACCAATGTTCTCTGTACTCCCCCAATCTAGCCACCATCCCATCGATGTCTTTCCACTCCACGGATGTCTCCTCCCACTGATGTCTCTTCTGCTCCCTTAATATCTCCTCCATCCCCCCGATGTCCCCTCCATCCTACCAATGTCTTCTCTCTTTCCCTGATGTCTCCTCTCCTTCCTCAATGTCTCCTCAGTTCCTCAATGTGTCCATTATCCCTGATATCTTCTTCACTTGCGCAATGTCTCCTACATCCGCCAATGCCTCTTCCACTTCCCAATTTCTCTGTCCTACTGATTTCTTCCCCTGCACAATGTCTCCTACATCCCAATGACATCTTCTTTCTTCCCCTGATGTTTCCTACACATCCCCTGATGTTTCCTCCATTCACCTATGTCTTCTCTTTTCCCCTGATGTCACCTCTGTCCCACCAATGTCTTCTTCACTCCCCTGATCTCTCCTCTGTCCAACCAATGTCTTCTCCTCTCCCCCACAGTCTCCTCTATTCCTGACGTTTCTTCCATCTTACCAATATCTTCTCTTCTTCCTGATGCCTCCTCACCCCTTCAACTGATACCTCCTCTCTTCCACCAATGTCTTCTCTGCTCCCCCAATGTCTTTATATTCCCAATGTTTCCTCCATTTTACCAATGTCTTCTCCTCTTCCCTGATGTCTTCCTCTGTCCCACCAATGTCTTCTCTGCTCTCCCAATGTCTACTCCTCCTGATGTCATCCCCGTTCCCTCAATGTTTCCTACATTCCCGATGTCTCCTCAGTCTTACCAATGTCTTCTCTGTTTCCATGATATCTTCTGCCCTTCTCCTAGCAGTCTCCTCTCTCCCCGATGTCTCCTCTCCTCCAGCAATGTGTCATCTAACCCTGATGTTTTCTCCATTACCCGGATGTCTCCTCCATTCCCCAATGTCTCTGATCTACCAATGTGTTCTTCAGGCCCCCAAAGCCTCCTCCATCCCTGATGTCTTCTCTGCTCAATGTTTCCTCTGTCCCTTAATGTCTTCTACGTCCTAATAATGTCTCCTCCACCCCCAATGTCTTCTCTGCTCCTGGTGTCGCCACAAAGAATGGCGAGGGGGTGGGACCAGTGTGGCAGTGCCCAGAAGAAGCAGCCAGTGGAAGAGAACCATGATGGTGGTGTGGGATCCTAGATATATCAGCTGAACAGCAGGTTGCAGCAGGACTGGATTTGCCGTACAGGTGAGTACGTGTTAAGGGAGCACAGCAGCACAGGTAAAAAGAGAAAAACATGGTGGGTGGGGGGGAGTGGGAGGTAAGTTCTGTTTCAAATTATTTCCATTGTAATGCATTATATAACGTGGAGATCCTTTTATCACCCAGCACGTCCCATTTCATTTACACGCATCTACGCTTATTGACCGATATATACAGCAAACATTTTGTGTTTCTTAGTTTTGGACAGAGAAGGGAAGAGTTGAAACCTCCATCAGTTTTTATTACTGTCTGTTGCGTTGGTGATCTGGACCCTCACTTCTGGTCCTGGAGATACAACGGGAAGAGGGATAAATTCCTCTCTTAGATAGTTACTGGAACAGATGTCCTCATTAGAAGAATTACCCTTTCCTTTTTGGATTTCCCATCATTCCCATCAGGACAAAATGAGAAGGTGAATTTCCCCAACGGGACACAGACACCAATAAACCGTATCAAGGGTTCCTTTCCTTCCCTACTCCATCCAAATCTGGAAACAAATGTTGGCTATACATACACTGTAAGACGTTTTTTTAGTTTCTATGGTACAGAACTGGTAAATGTCCCCCTTACAGTAGTCAAATTCTACCATCATGTCCTAATCATACCAAAATATGTGAGCTGCCCTCGCACCATGTTCTTCCCACGCGTATTCTCGGCAACGCATTCGTAGGGCCCGGCGTCTTCTTGCTGGAAGTTGGGGATCTCCAATACCCCACTGGAGCGGTGCCGTCTTACTTTTCGAGATATGCTTTTGCCGTCTGCCCTCCTCCAGGTGATGGTGGGTACTGGGCTGCAATGAAGAGAATGCAATAGATCATAACGGGTAATACGGGTCCAATGTCATGAAATGGGCAAAGAGTAATGCGACCATCTGCAGAGTCCTTCTGTGATTGTGGACTTACTGAGGGGGAACATTCACTCATGGGAACTAGGACTATATATGGACGTTCCTCCTGGAGCTAAAGAGTTTTTGTGATAAGCTGATATATCTTCTGCTTCAAGGGATGGTTAAAAAAGAGAGACAGAAGAGAGAGGAGCGGAGAGGAGGAGGAGAGGAAGAGGAGGAGGAAAGGAGAGGAGTGGAGAGGAGGAGGAGAGGAGTAGAAAACAATAGGAGGAGGAGAGGAGTGGAGAGGAAAGGAGGAGGAGGGGAAGAGAGGAGAAGAGAGGAGGGGAGTGGAAAGGAGAGGAGAAGGAGAAGAGGAGAGGAGGAGGAGAGGAGAGAGGGGAGGGAAAGAGAGAAGAGAGGAGAGAAAATGTGAGAGAAAGGAGGAGAGGAGAGGAGGAGGAGAGGAGAGGAGAGGAGGAGGAGAGAAGAGGTGATGGAGGAGGAGAGGAGAGGAGGAGGAAAGGAGAAAGAGAAGAGAGGAGAGAGAGGAAAGGAAGAGACTAGAGGAGGAGGAGAGGAGAGTAGGAGGACAGAAAAGGAGATGGGGGAGGAGAGAAGAGGAGTTAGAGGAGGAGAGGAGAGAGAGAGGATAGAGAGAAGAGAGGAGAAAAGAAGAGGAGAGAGGGGAGGGAGAGAGAAAAAAGAGGAGAGAAAAGCAGAGAGAGGAGGAGAGGGAGAAGGGAGGAGGAGGAGAGGGAGAAGGGAGGAGGAGAAGAGGAAAGGGAGGAGGAGAGGAGAGGGAGAAAGGTAGGAGGAGAGGGAGAAGAGAGGAGGAGAGAGAGAGAAGAGAGGAGGAGGAGAGGGAGAAGGGAGGAAGAGGAGAGGGAGAAGGGAGGAAGAGGAGAGAAGAGAGGAGGAGGAGAGGGAGAAGGGAGGAGGAGGAGAGGAGAGAAAGAGAAGAGAAAAGGAGAGGAGAGAGTGAGGATAGAGAGATGAGAGGAGAGAGTGAGGATAGAGAGATGAGAGGAAGACAATAAATGGACAGAGAAAGATAGTGTGAAGAGAGAGGAAGGAGAGGAGACCCAGAAAAACAGACCAAAAAGAAAACATGGGAACAGAAACAGGTACAGTACATAGGACAGAAAAGAAAAAAAAAAGAAAGACGAGAGACAGAGAAAGAGAGGAAGGAAGTTTGGCTCCTCCCCCCACCACTTTCCCTTGTTCCCATTGGTTATAGTTCAGTGACAGGATCTGACTGGAGAATTACTCACTTGCCCAATGCAAAACATTCCAATTTAACTGTAGAGCCCTTCGCTGCAGACACCGACTCGGGAAAATGGACCTCGATTTTCGGTTCGTACTCTCCCATGATACCTGAATGAAGGAAGGAACAAGTGAGTATTTGGAGGAGGGTGGATTGATGGAGGGGGGTGGATTGTATGGAGGAGGGTGGATTGTATGGAGGAGGGTGGATTGTATGCAGGAGGGTGGATTGTATGAAGGAGGGTGGATTGTATGCAGGAGGGTGGATTGTATGGAGGAGGGTGGATTGTATGCAGGAGGGTGGATTGTATGAAGGGGGGGTGGATTGTATGGAGGAGGGTGGATTAATGGAGGGAGGGTGGATTGTATGGAGGAGGGTGGATTAATAGAGGGAGGGTGGATTGTATGGAGGAGGGTGGATTAATAGAGGGGGGTGGATTGTATGGAGGGGGGGGGATTAATAGAGGGGGGTGGATTGTATGGAGGGGGGTGGATTGTATGGAGGGGGGGGGATTGATGGAGGGAGGTCGAATGATGGAGGAGGGTGGATTGATGGAGGGGTTGGATTGATGGAGGGGGGTGGATTGTATGGAGGGGGTGGATTGATGGAGGAGGGAGTGGATTGATGGAGGAGGGAGTGGATTGATGGAGGAGGGAGTGGATTGATGGAGGGGGGTGGATTGTATGGAGGGGGGTGGATTGATGGAGGAGGGAGTGGATTGATGGAGGAGGGAGTGGATTGATGGAGGGGGGGTGGATTGATGGAGGGGGGTGGATTGATGGAGGGGGTGGATTGATGGAGGAGGGTGGATTGTATGGAGGAGGGAGGATTAATGCAAGGAGGTGGATTGATGGAGGGGGGTGGATTGTATGGAGGGGGGTGGATTGTATGGAGGAGGGTGGATTGATGGAGGGGGGGTGGATTGATGGAGGGGGGGGGGAGGATTGATGGAGGAGGTGGATTGTATGGAGGAGGTGGATTGTATGGGATTGATGGAGGTGGATTGATGGAGGGGGGGTGGATTGTATGGAGGAGGGAGGATTGTATGGAGGAGGGAGGATTAAATGGAGGGAGGTGGATTGATGTTGGAGGTGGATTGTATGGACTTTGTGAAGCAGACATGACAAGGCCCGGTTCAGTGGACCATTACTGAGGATTCAGTCCTAATGTGCTTCACTGGTAGCAAATGATACAGTTGGGTGTTCCACCAGTGGGACCTCTATTGACAACCGATGTGTCTCACACAGATATATTTATACAGTATTTATTGGGTGGTTTTTGGAAAGATGAACTGCTCCAACATCGGTACCTGATCTCACAGATGGGCACGAACTCCCACAGACACCTTCCAAAACTTTGTAGAAAGTCCTCCCAGATGAGTGGAGCCTGGTATAGCCACAAAGGGGGGGGGGGACCATAAAGATATTCGGTGTGGAGCAACTGGAGTGTCCTACACAGAACTCTGACCTCAACCCGACTGAACACCTTTGGGATTAATTGGAACATCGATGGTGAGCCGGGTCTTCTCATCCAACATCTGTACCTAACCTCACAAATGTTCCTTTCCAGACACACTCCAGTTTGTGGGAAGTCTTTCCAGAAGTGTGGTGCCAGCTCCAAGAATGGTTTGATGAGTTCGGTGTGGAGGATCTCCGGAGTCTTGCACAAAGCCCTCACCTCAACCCTACTGAACACCTTGGGGATGAACTGGAACACGGATGGTGGACCAGAACTTTTTTTGGTGCCTAACCTGAGACCCAACATTTAAGCCAGGACTTCTCCAACATCAGTACCTGACCCCACAAATGGGCATAAATTCCCAACAGGCACCCTCCACAAATCCTGTGTAAAGTCTTCCCAGAAGAGAGGAGACGTGAGACCTCGGAGGAAGATCTTAAGAAATACATTTTTTAACTTTAGCGTAGATGAGCTTTAATGGAAATTCCCATCTTCTAGTGGAACGACTTTTCCTGTAGGGGTGACCTTGTCTTATTTCACCGAGGAGGAAATTGGAGAAGATTATTTTACCGTGACCTTGGGCGATCGTGTTCTTCATGTACCTGTTTTCCATTTTCAATACATCCAGGATGAATAATTAATTCGCAGACATGATGGATGCTGCGGGAACCAGGTGATTGGACTTTGCAGGACCAGATAAAGAGTTACTTAGCGGAGGGATTACAGAGAACATTTATTATGTCCGGCATGCAGCAAGGCTGACCACAGACAGGCAGATAGTTCCTGAGAGTGATGGTCGGGGATTGTAGATCCATCCTTATAGCAGAGGAACCTGCCCAACGCTTATTATTCCTAATTCCTAAGTAACATTATCACAATTGTATATTATATATCTCGTACAATCGGTTATATGATCCAACCAATCCTGAAGAAGGAGGGTCACATTCCCGAAACACGTTGGCCTCCCTCTTCTTCTATCACCCCCATTGGAAGATTTTCCTTCACGTCATGTTCCAGTGACATGGGCCGCCGACGCATTTGTTAGCCCTTTAAGTATTTATTAAATCTCTGTTATGGATTCGCAGTGAAGTTCCGGCTTTTTGCTGGAATGTTCCTGGAAGTCCTCCAGCCGGGAAATTATACCGGATGTACCCAATATTCATGGAGGCTCAGCATCCCAGCAGTATGGTGATTGTTATTATTGATATTATCACTTTTATTATCATTATTATTATTAGTAGTAATAGTAGAGCAGTATTGTGATTGATAATAAAATTATATTGTTATTATTACTGTTGTTATTACTATTAATATTTGTATCATCATCATCATCATTATTATTATCAGTAGTAGTGGTATAGCGGTATTATTATTATTATTATTATTGATATTATTATTATGATTATTATTATTATTAGTAGTAATAGTAGAGCTGTATTGTTATTGTTAATAAAAATAATATTGCTATTATTATTACTACTATTGTTATTGAGCAGTATTGTAAATATTATTATTACTATAATTATTAATATTATTATTATTATTATTTTTTTAGTAGTAGTAGTAGTAATAGTAGAGCAGTATTGTTATTATTATTACTATTATTATTATCAGTAGTAGTGGTATAGCAGCATTGTAAATATTATTATTACTATTATTGATATTATTATTATTAGATTATTATTATTATCAGTAGTAGTAATATTAGAGCAGTATTGTTATTATTGATAATAATAATAATAATAATAATAATATCAATAATAACAATACTGCTCTAATATTACTACTACTGATAATAATATTAATAATAGTAATAATAATATTTACAATACTGCTATACCACTACTACTGATAATAATAATAATATCAATAATAATAATAATAATAGTACTAATAATAATAGCAATAATAATAGCAATACTGCTCTACTATTACTACTACTAATAACAATATCAATAATAATAAAAAATAATAATAATAATAATAATATTTACAATACTGCTATACCACTACTACTACTACTACTACTACTACTACTAATAATAATAATAATAATATCAGTAGTAGTGGTATAGCAGCATTGTAAATATATTATTATTACTATTATTTGATATTATTATTATGATTATTTATTATATATTATCAGTAATAGTAATTATTAGAGCAGTAAAAAAGCAGTTGTAAATATTTTATTATTATTTTTAGTAGTAGTAGTAATAGTAGAGCAGTATTATTATTATTGATATTATTATTACTATTATTGATATTTATTATTATTATGATTATTATTAGTAATATTAGAGCAGTATTGTTATTATTACTATTATTATTACTATTATTATTGATATTGTTATTATTATTATTATCAGTAGTAGTAATATTAGAGCAGTATTGTAAATATTATTATTATTATTACTATTATTATTATTATTATTGTTATTATTATTATTGATATTATTATTACTATTATTATTATTATTATTGTTATTATTATTATTGATATTATTATTACTATTATTATTATTACTATTATTATTACTATTATTGTTATTATTATTATTATTATTATTTTATTATTGATATTATGATCATTATTATTATTATTATCAGTAGTAATATTAGAGCATTATTATTATTATTACTATGATTATTATTATTATTGATATTATGATCATTATTATTATTATTATTATTATTATATCAGTAGTAGTAATATTAGAGCATTATTGTAAATATTATTATTATTATAATCCATTTATTTCTAACAGAACAAATCGTGTGGATGAAGGCGTTTCCTTTGGCGGAGGAGATTTGAGGTGTCAGTGGGGGGCGCACTCACCGTCGGTGCGAAGGGTAAGTGGTGTGCTGGGTCCCAGCTCCCGGCTGTTGGTCACGGTGTTGGTCACCACGCAGGTATAATTTCCGGCATCGGAGGGCTCCACTTTGGCGATGTAGAGGTTGCCGGTGACCTGGGACACGAATCTGCGGTTGTCTTGCTGCACGAAGGGCGGGAACTCATTGAAGGTCCAGGCGTAGACCAGCTCTGAGGACAGAGAGAACCCCAATCAGCAAGACATCGAACGTCACATCGAACATACAATGATACCAATCCTCCGACTTGTCCAATAAATATCCAGGGCAACCAATCAGATTTCACTCCACAGCGATATATCGGCGGCTGAAATGCATCGGCCAAAAATGGTGTTATTGGCGTTTAGCCGATAAAAAGGTGCTGATAATGACCGCAAAAAAACGCGTGATTTTACCCCCAATTTTGCTGCAATTTCACCCCATTTAATGCGTGTTTTTCATAGGTCATGTGACTCATAAAAACTCATGAAAAACGCAACACGCGCACGTTTTTGATGGGGTTTTGCTGCATTTTTAGTGCATTTCAGGCCGGGTTCACACCAACGCAATTTGCGTTTTGTCCGTTTTGCAGCGCTTTTTGCCTTTTTTGCATGCGTGACTTTTTAAAAAACGTTTTGCATTTTTTTGCTTTTTTTTTCGGTCAGCTTGTTGCTGGGCAGATGAAAAAAGGCAAAATGCATAAAAAATGCACAAGGAACGCGTCAAAAACGCACTACATAAGTTTTCTGCCACGTCTCCATTCAAGTCTTTTGAACCAAAAACGCAACGTTTTGCTTTTAAAAAAGTCCCCGACCCTTTCCAAAAACTCAGCGGCGCAAAAAAAAAAGCATGATGCGTTTTGCGTTGCTTTGAATGTTTTTTCTTTTCTGGCCAACTTGTTGCCGGGCAGATTAAAATGCAAAATCCATCAAAGATGCAACACGTGCGCATTTTTGATGCGTTTTCAATGCACTTCAGATCTGGTTCTCACCATTGTACTTTGTGTTTTTTTGTGCTTTTTTGCAGTACTTTTGGCATTTTTGTACTCATGTTTTGATGCGTTTTTTTTTTTTTTGGCCAACTTGTTGCCGGGCAGATTAAAAACGCAAAATGCATCAAAAATGCACTACATGGATTTTCTGCTGCGTCTCCATTGCCGTCTGTTGAACCAAAAACGCAACGTTTTGCTTTTAAAAAAACTCCCTAACCCTTTCCAAAAACGCAGCGACTCAAGAAAGCATGATGCATTTTTAAAAAAAATTTTTTTGGCCTACTTGTTGCCAGGCAGATTAAAAACGCATAATGCATCAAAGTTGCAACACGTGCGCATTTTTGATGCGGTTTCAATGCATTTCAGGTCTGGTTCACACCAATGCAGGTTTTTTTTTTTTTTTAATGCTAATTTGACGTACGTTTTGCATTTTTTTGGGGCCAACTTGTTGCCGGGCAGATTAAAAACGCAAAATGCATCAAAAATGCACTACATGCATTTTCTGCCGCGTCTCCTTTGAAGGCTGTTGAACCAAAAACGCAATGTTTTGCGTTTAAAAAACTCCCCGCCCCTTTCCAAAAATGCAGCGGCTCAAAAAGGCCTCGATGTGAACGTGTCCCATAGGAAACCGTGTTCAATGGACCGCAGTGCGTTTCTGCAAAACGCACTAAAAACGCATCGCTGTGAACCGGGCCTCAATGGCGAGGTGCGCTTTTGGTGCGTATTTTTTTTTATAAGTGACCAAATATCTCCAAAAATGTGGCAAGCAGGATTCTTAACACGGCAAGAAAAGCGCAGCGGACCGATGCGAAGACGTATATTGAATATAAAGGGAATGCGTTTTTCTTGCACTTTTTTAAATGCAAAAAGCGCTGCGAGCCTATTGGCCGAAAAGGTCTGAAGACAAATTCATGATATTAACGAAAAAGTCGAATATAATCCAATTATGTATAAAAAAAAATGTAACATACAAAAAAAAAAACTGTCCATTTCGGTTTTCGGCCAAATGCGTCCGGAATCTTCGGATTCGGTTGAGAATTCGCATTTCGCTGCATCGCAGTTCTAACCCTTCGCTGCTAGAGGGCGCCCTGCGATAACTCATCCTGAGCAATGATTGGACGGGGATTTGGGGGACTTACCTCCAGAATGAGGCGGTGGACCGCACAGCAGCACCATCCCCTGTCCCTCCCGCACTGACACAATACTTCGGGTCCTCGTCTGGAACGAATCGAGATCTGCGGGAACATCGACAATCTGAGAACCTTCAGAGGCCACAGACAGGAGGACTTAAAGCAGAACTCCGGCCAGATATACAAATCGCATCATTACATGTATCAGCCACGGCATATGTCAGAGCTACATACATGTAATAATAATAATAGTGTGTGACTGTGGGGGAGGGGACATTAGAGTGTAAGCTCCTCTGGTACAGTGACTGTGGGGGAGGGGACATTAGAGTGTAAGCTCCTCTGGTACAGAGACTGATGGGACTGCGGGGGAGGGGACATTAGAGCGTAAGCTCCTCTGGTACAGAGACTGATGTGACTGCGGGGGAGGGGACATTAGAGCGTAAGCTCCTCTGGTGCAGAGACTGATGTGGGGGAGGGGACATTACTGTCGGGGGAGGGTGACATTAGAGCGTAAGCTCCTCTGTGCAGAGAGTGTCTGATGTGACTGTGTGGGGGAGGGGACATTAGAGTGTAAGCTCCTCTGGTACAGAGACTGATGTGACTGTGGGGGAGGGGACATTAGAGTGTAAGCTCCTCTGGTACAGAGGCTGATGTGACTGTGGGGGAGGGGACATTAGAGTGTAAGCTCCTCTGTACAGAGACTGATGTGACTGTGGGGGAGGGGACATTAGAGTGTAAGCTCCTCTGGTGACTGTGGGGGAGGGGACATTAGAGTGTAAGCTCCTCTGGTACAGTGACTGATGTGACTGCGGGGGAGGGGACATTAGAGCGTAAGCTCCTCTGGTACACAGGCTGATGTGACTGTGGGGGAGGGGACATTACAGTGTAAGCTCCTCCGGTACAGAGGGGACTGATGGGACTGCGGGGGTAGGATGGACATTAGAGCGTAAGCTCCTCTGGTACACAGGCTGATGTGACTGTGGGGGAGGGGACATTAGAGTGTAAGCTCCTCTGTACAGAGACTGATGTGACTGTGGGGGAGGGGACATTAGAGTGTAAGCTCCTCCGGTACAGAGACTGATGGGACTGTGGGGGAGGGGACATTAGAGTGTAAGCTCCTCTGGTACTATGTAAACAACAGATACAAATAAGCATGCCTTTACATTTGGGGGGCGTGTTCACATTCGTAGGGGAGGACGACTTCACTTTCATTGGCGGTGAATACGATCGATGTGAATATCTTACAAGACAGGGATAAATGAAGAGGTGGGACGGCTATGAGGCCGACGTATACGACGGAATTATGGGAAGGATATATATCTGCTGCATTAGGGTGACATATGACGACTGCCATGCAATTAATGACCGCGGAGTCTGGAGCGCCAGTCGCGGCGTCTGGGCGGCGTGCATAATGAAGTGCAATACGAATCATTGGCGGCGTTAATAACGTTCCACGTGGGCACATCATTCTAATGACTTATCTCTGTTATTACAAGGAGGGAATACAGATACTACTGCAAGGCGGCGCGCTCTGCGCTCTGCGTTGTGCGTTCTGCGCTCGCCTGACCTTTCCGGTTTTTTAGATGTATATTTAATGAGGAACAATGCAACGTCAGCTGAGACGAGCGAGAAAATACAATCCCTGCGAGCGCGACCACTGATCCGCCGACTCCTGCCCAATCCTCTACAGATGTCTCCTGTGTCCTGTATACCGTCGTTTCTTCTCATCTCTCACAGAGCTTTTCCCGGGTCCTGCGTCCACCTGCCTCTCCCCAAATCCTGTACATGACTACACTATATGGCCAAAAGTATGTGAACCCTACCATTGATGAAGTCCAGATGTCTCCAGTGAAGGGTCCCGGTAATGACCTGGTAGACAATGGCGCTCTTCTATCCTTGTGGTAACAGTTTGGTGAAGACCCTTTTCTGTCCCCCCATGACTGTCCCCTGTGCACAAAGCCAGCTCCATAAAGACATGGATGACCAGTTTGGTGAAGACCCTTTTCTGTTCCCCCATGACTGTCCCCTGTGCACAAAGCCAGCTCCATAAAGACATGGATGACCAGTTTGGTGAAGACCCTTTTCTGTCCCGTGTCCCCCCATGACTGTCCCCCGTGCACAAAGCCAGCTCCATAAACACATGGATGACCAGTTTGGTGTGGAGGAACTCCACTGTCCTGCTCAGAGCCCTGACCTCAACCCTACTGAACACCTTAGGGATGGGCCAACATCAACCTTCTAATTCATCCCAAAGATATTCAGTAGGGTTGAGGTCAGGGTTCTACGCAGGACATTCGAGTTCCTTCACAAAAAACTGGTCATCGATTTCTTTATGGAGTTGGCCAGTCTTTGTGGCCACTGGAATGCCAATGGTGAGCCAGGTCTTTACACCCAACATCAGTAGCGGACCTCACAAATGTTCCTTTGGCTGATTGGACACAAATTCCCACAGACACACTCCATCATTTTTTGGGAAGCCTTTCCAGATGTATAAAGCCATCTCCATAAAGACCAGTTTGTTGTGGATTACCCTGAGTGTCCTGTACAGAGCCATGACTTCAACCCTGCTGCTCACCTTTGGGATGAACTAGATCAACGATGGGGATCCAGGTCTTCTCATTCAACATCAGCACCTGACCTCACAAATAGGCAAAAATTCCCACAGACACCCCTCAAATTCCCGTGGAGGCTTCCCAGAAGAGTGGCGGATGTTATAGCCACAAAAGACTGGCCAGCTCCATAAAGACATGGATGACCAGTTTGGTGTTGAGGAACTTGAATGTCCTGCATAGAACACTGACCTCAACCCTACTGAATATCTTTGGGATGAATTAGAAAGTTGATGTTGACCCAGGCCTTCCCATTCAGCATCAGTAAATATGGAGGAAACGTAAGCAGAGACAATCTTGAGATGTAGAAGAGTGCAGCTTGAGAGTCGGGAAGGGTGTGGAGCTCCTTGGAGGGGCACATGTGGCAAGGCCTATGGCGTGGGAGATAGCGATATCATGAGATGGAGATGGTATGGCCCACGGCAGCCCCCTCCATATTAAATCCATATCCATGTTAAAGGCCATGATTCTGGAATAGGAAATCCAACACCTTCATAGAGTTGTGATGGTCACAAACCCACAGACTTTCCGCTACACAAGCAGCCCCTAGCCTGTGTATGTCTGCTGCCTACCTGCTGCCTACCTGCTGCCTACCTGCTGCCTACCTGCTGCCTGTTACTGACCTCAGCCTGGACTCTTGATGGAGATTCTGCTCATCAATTCTGTACCTTGTTACCTTCACATTGCCAACATCTGCTTGTCTCTGACCTCCATCCTACTCATGATTTGGTGCTTTCCTGCTTGGCAGGTCCTGAACTCAGCTTGCTCTGCTCTCTTCTCTTCTGGGTCAAGTCGGGGTGCCCTCACCGCTACACTTCTGCTTTCCTGATGCCAACACTCCCAAGTTCAAGTCCACGGTTCCAGCTTCCTGGCACTCCCACCCTTCCATGGCCCTAGCAGTTCCTGTCTCAAACTCCAGGGGTGCATGGATGAGAATTGTTCAAGAGGCCATTGTCATCATCTCAGGTGCCTCATACAGGCAAGTGAAAACTCCTCTGCTTCTCCCTATCCTCCTCTCTTCTCCTCTGCTTCTCTCTATCCTCCTCTCTTCTCCCCTGCTTCTCTCTATCCTCCTCTCTTCTCCTCTGCTTCTCTCTATCCTCCTCTCTTCTCCTCTGCTTCCTCTATCCTCCTCTCTTCTCCTCTGCTTCTCTCTATCCTCCTCTCTTCTCCCCTGCTTCTCTCTATCCTCCTCTCTTCTCCTCTGCTTCTCTCTATCCTCCTCTCTTCTCCTCTGCTTCTCTCTATCCTCCTCTCTTCTCCTCTGCTTCTCTCTATCCTCCTCTCTTCTCCTCTGCTTCTCTTTATCCTCCTCTCTTCTCCTCTGCTTCTCCCTATCCTCCTCTCTTCTCCTCTGCTTCTCTCTATCCTCCTCTCTCTCCTCTGCTTCTCCCTATCCTCCTCTCTTTCTCCTCTGCTTCTCTCTATCCTCCTCTCTTCTCCTCTGCTTCTCCCTATCCTCCTCTCTTCTCTGCTTCTCTCTATCCTCCTCTCTTCTCCTCTGCTTCTCCCTATCCTCCTCTCTTCTCTGCTTCTCTCTATCCTCCCCTCTCTTCTCCTCTGCTTCTCCCTATCCTCTCTTCTCTCTTCTCCTCTGCTTCTCCCTATCCTCCTCTCTTCTCTGCTTCTCTCTATCCTCCTCTCTTCTCCTCTGCTTCTCCCTATCCTCCTCTCTTCTCTGCTTCTCTCTATCCTCCTCTCTTCTCCTCTGCTTCTCTCTATCCTCTCTCTTCTCTCTTCTCTGCTTCTCTCTATCCTCCTCTCTTCTCCTCTGCTTCTCTCTATCCTCCTCTCTTCTCCTCTGATTCTCCCTATCCTCCTCTGCTTCTCTCTATCCTCCTCTCTTCTCCTATGCTTCTCTCTATCCTCCTCTCTTCTCTCTATCCTCCTCTCTTCTCCTCTGCTTCTCTCTATCCTCCTCTGCTTCTCTCTATCCTCCTCTCTTCTCCTCTGCTTCTCTCTATCCTCCTCTGCTTCTCCCTATCCTCCTCTCTTCTCCTCTGCTTCTCTCTATCCTCCTCTGCTTCTCTCTATCCTCCTCTCTTCTCCTCTGCTTCTCTCTACCCTCCCTGCTGCTTCTCCCTATCCTCCTCTCTTCTCTCTCTGCTTCTATCTATCCTCCTCTCTTCTCTGCTTCTCTCTATCCTCCTCTCATTTATTCTCTCCTCCTCTCTTCCTTCTTGACTCCCTCTCTCTATATACCTGTCCTTGTCTCCCTCCCATTTAGCAGTCTGTCTGTTCCCCCCCCCCGGCGGTCTGTCTCCCCCCCCGGTGGTCTCCTTGTCCCACGCTCTCCCTCCTGCCATCCATTTAGCGGTCTGCCCCCCCCCCCGTGGTCTCCTTGTTCTGCGCTCTCCCTCCTGCCATCCATTTAGCGGTCTGTCCCCCCCCGGCGGTCTCCTTGTCCCACGCTCTCCCTCCTGCGTCCATTTAGCGGTCTGTCCCCTCCCCCCGGTGGTCTCTTTGTCTCGCACTCTCCCTCCTGCCATCCATTTAGCGGTCTGTCCCCCCCCCCCCCCGCGGTCTCCTTGTCCCACGCTCTCCCTCCTGCGTCCATTTAGCGGTCTGCCCCCCCCCGGTGGTCTCCTTGTTCTGCGCTCTCCCTCCTGCGTCCATTTAGCGGTCTGTCCCCCCCTTGGCGGTCTCCTTGTCCCACGCTCTCCCTCCTGCCATCCATTTAGCGGTCTGTCCCCCCCCCCCCCCGGCGGTCTCCTTGTCCCACGCTCTCCCTCCTGCGTCCATTTAGCGGTCTGTCCCCTCCCCCCGGTGGTCTCTTTGTCTCGCACTCTCCCTCCTGCCGTCCATTTAGCGGTCTCTCTCCCTCCCCGGCGATCTCATTGTCGCGCTCTGTAGTTCGTCTCGCGCCTTCGCCCGCCGTGCGTTTTTCTGTCCTCGTCTGTCCCTGGTCCTGTCCTGCTGTTTGATGTGACGGCTGCCAGCTGAGCGGATGTCGGAATGTGTCATCTTTCAGGGGGGCCCTCCGTCGCCTCGCGGTGGGTGAGAAGAAAGGTCCCCGAGGTCCTTCTTTGATTTGTTGATGTAGAAAATAATCCATAAAGCGACGTGACCGCCACCGCTACAAATATTTCCTAATTAATTGACCTGAACTCAATCTCGTGCTGATTATTTAATTAGCTGCAGTACGGGGGGGGGGGGCGCGGGAAATGAAGTGCGGAAAGGAAGGACTGAAGGGATTGTGGACACGTTGCTGAAGTCTCCTAGCAACTCCAGTCGGCAATATTACAAATCCAATAGTAAGGGACCAATAAAAGTTCACTTCGGCGTGTATTTATTACAAACAATAAATGTGCGCAGCTGTTCATTGATAGAAACGGCATATAAATCCATTCTGTGCAAGGGGGCCAAAGTCGAATGTTCTCAGGCTATATTCCCTGCAGTTTGAATTTTAATTACTGAAAAAAAAAAGAAAACTGGGATTGGGGAGAAAATCACATTATGGCCACTAGATGGAGATGAGGAGCATACATATGTCTATGATACTCAGGGCCATCTAGTGGCCATAATGTGGTATTTTCCCAATTCACAATCTTCTTTTTTCAAGGATTAACATTCAATCTACAGAGATCATAACCTGAGAACATTTGACTTTACCCCTTTTGCACAGGAAGAACAATGCAGGTTGGATGGATGATCAGCTAGGCAAATTATTTTTATAAATGCACTGCTTAAAGCACATGTGTCAAACACAAGGCCAGTGGACCAAATCTGGTCTGCCAGGCCATTTCATGTGGCCCTCACACCTCTCCTGCAGCTGGGGCACCTCCCTTGATCCTGCCACCACCTTGTCTGAGCAGTCATCAGCAGAGAGGAGGACAGAACTCCTCCTACAGATCCTGCACTTCTGTGTGCAGCCACAGCACCCCCTCGTCTCCGCATCGCTTGGTCTCAGCATTCAGCACTCCACAGCCATTTTTCTTTTGAAACACAATTATATACTGAAGTAAAGTCATAGCCAATCTCCAAAATCAATCCAAAGAGTCCAATGCCAGCTGCCCCCCCCCCCCCCTATGTGTCTCTCCCACCAATCAAGTGGCTATAGTAATGTTTCCGCCAACAAAAGCCATGGAGTGGAGGACAGTCCTCTGCCGTTCTCCACAACCAGAGAGAAGCCTCTGATGCCAGTAGCCATCCTCTGACATCCCAAGCTGCCTACTAGCCCTCTGGCCAGTCCATCTGAACTTCTTCCATGGTGAGGGCCCTCACGTCCCAGAAGTCACAGAACGGCAGCTTCCACATGATGCTTTGCACACAGATATTTTACTTTGCAGCAGGTTTCTTTTAAGCATACAGGTTAACTTTTACAGAAATGCAAGGATAGTCCTTCACCGTGACCTTTATTTAGAGGTGGGGTTAGGGTGGGACCAACTCTGAAGGTGTGGGTGATGGACAGTTCTTGTCTATTTAGAGGATCTGTTTGGATGGGACCAACTAATAAAGTGAGTATGATTTGGATGGATGAAATGTGGACCATAGTTGGGGTTTACAGTGTCCCCAGATAAAAGCCAACTGTCCCAGATTTGCAAGGACAGTCTCCCATGTTTGTCCTCCAATGCCTTCTCCTGGGCCATGTCCAGCTTGAACCTTATCTGAGTTACTATAAGGCTTTGATTGGTGGATTCACTGCTACGAGGGAGTGATCCCTACATATTTAGAGGTGGGGTATGGGTGGGACAAACTCAGAGGGTGAGCGTGATGGACAGTCCCTGCCCATTTAGAGTTTGGGTTTGGATGGAACTAAGAAAAGTGGATGTGGTTTGGGTGATCATGGTTGGGGCCTACAGTGTCCCCAGATAAAAGCCAACTGTCCCAGATTTGCAAGGACAGTCTCCCATGTTTGTCCTCCAATGCCTTCTCCTGGGCCATGTCCTGGGATGACAGCATGAACCTTATCTGAGTTACTATAAGGCTTTGATTGGTGGGTTCATTGCTACGAGGGAGTGATCCCTACATATTTAGAGGTGGGGTATGGTTGGGACAAACTCAGAGGGTGAGCGTGATGGACAGTCCCTGGCCATTTAGAGTTTGGGTTTGGATGGAACTAAGAAAAGTGGATGTGGTTTGGGTGAACTAATAGCGGATCATGGTTGGGGACTACAGTGTCCCGAGATACATGCCAACTGTCTCTGATTTGCAAGGACAGTCCTACATCTTCTATCCCACCAATGATTCATCCTAGGCCATGTCCCGGGATCACAGCATTGACCTCATTGGAGTTACTAAGCATGCACTGTAAGGCTTTGATTGCCGGGTTTGGATTCATGAGTCAGTGATCCCCACATATTTAGAGGTGGGGTCTGGGTGGGACCAGCTCAGAAGATAGGCATGATGGGCCGTCCCTGCCTATTTAGAGGCGGGGTTTGGAGAGAACCAACTAATAAAGTGGCTGTAACTTGGGTGGAAGAAATGCGGACTATAGTTGGGTTTACAGTGCCCCAAGATTTGGAATATTGGAAATTTACATTTTAAGTGGTATAACGCAATGCTGACACATCCATAATCCGTAGTCCCATCTACATCAATGTTCTCCTCACGCCATCGTTTTCACAATAGGCAGTAAAAAACAACCGACTGCTCCGCAGCAACCAATCAGCTGCCACCGTTCTGACTGTCCTAAACCACCACAAGGCAAAACCTGATTAGATTGCATATTGAGAGAAAAATCTGCCACTCACAAGCAAATTGGAGGCTAGCCTCGCGGCTGAGGATGGTCCCCACCGAATTGGTGGATTCACATTGGAAGATGCCAACATCTCGATCCCGATCCGGAGTATTGATGACTAAACTTCTGTTGATGACCCGGTATCGATAATCCTGGGCTTCATCCAGAAGGGTGCCGTTCACTCTCCACCTGCAGATATCACAGAACAAACAGAGGTGAGGGGGTCTCAAAATCAGCTCAGCCAATCAAGAAGATTGAAAAAATGGACCTGGGTAAGTTGACCGCGTTACCCCTTAATCCTATATGATTCAGGTGAGAGCCACACAAGAGATTTTTTAAACTCAGATGGTTGACAAGGAAACCAACAACTGCTGCTTATTTGGAAGAGAAGAGTTAGGGTGGAGGTCCCCAGACAAGGCAAGTGTCCAGCTAAGGACCTGACCCTGACCTCTTGATCAAAAGGGAGGCTTTAAAGCTCCAATCCTGAAGCCAAAAAAATATATTTTTATACATTAACTATTTCTCAAGACTTTGCAGAAGAAGCTCATCGTCAAGAATGAGAAGAGACATTACTTTCTGTTATTTGGGAACACCTTACCAGCTTGACCGCAACCCATACCTTGCTGAGGAACATGGAGATAGACCTCCACTCCACGTTGCACAACAAGACACCTCAAGGCCCAGGAGAACAAAAACGAGTTCCGGAAACATCTTTCTGCAGAGTAATTCTATCAAGTGAACCTGTTATTAGCACCTAATAATGTACATTCATCTCGCTGCTTTCTCATTTATATTTCTACATTGTAACTCTCCCCCTCTAAATGGGATTTTGAGACCTTCGCTGTGAGGTTGCCGATTTAATGTATCAGTAAAATAATCTCCAAAAAAACAAGACAGAATATTGGCGCTGTTGCAGATTTAGGAACAACTGCTGAAAGGTCTTATGAAACAGAAAAACTCCAGAAAAAATAAAGTTAAATACATAAATTAAAGACATGTATGTGATTATTTTTTTACATGTCAAAGAGGTCTGTTCAGCCAGTCTTGCGATCCAAACTCTGCTGCCAGACAGCGGAGGTAGAAGGTGGTGCCACTATCATTTGCTTTACAGTCTCTTGGAATGTCAGTCAAGGTATGATGTCATGAAGGGTGAGGCAGACTGAGAGTCTCCTGGCATGTCAGTCAAGGTATGATGTCATGAAGGGTGAGGCAGACTGAGAGTCTCCTGGCATGTCAGTCAAGGTATGATGTCATGAAGGGTGAGGCAGACTGAGAGTCTCCTGGCATGTCAGTCAAGGTATGATGTCATGAAGGGTGGGGCAGACTGAGAGTCTCCTGGCATGTCAGTCAAGTATGATGTCATGAAGGGTGGGGCAGACTGAGAGTCTCCTGGCATGTCAGTCAAGGTATGATGTCATAGTGGGTGGGACAGACCAGGAGTCTCCTGGCATGTCAGTCAAGGTATGTTGTCATGAAGAGTGGGGCAAACTGGGAGTCTCCTTGGTGGGTGGAACAGATTAGTAGTCTCCCGACCTGTCATTTATGATATGATGTCCTGGAGGTTGGGACGGACAGGGAGTCTCTTGGCCTCTAAGGTAAGGTATGATGTCATGGTGTGTGGAACAGATGGGGAGTCTCCTGGCATCTCAGGTAAGGTGTGCCATGAAGTGTCAGACAGGAGTTTATTGGCCTGTAAGTCAAGGTATGATGTCATGGTGGGTGGGGACAGACCAGGAGTCCCCTGACCTGTCAGTCAAAGCATGATCTCATGATGGGTGGAACAGATTAGTAGTCTCCCGACCTGTCATTTATGATATGATGTCCTGGGGGTTGGGACGGAAAGGGAGTCTCTTGGCCTCTAAGGTAAGGTATGATGTCATGGTGGGTGGGACAGACCAGGAGTCTCTTGGCTTGTCAGGTATGATGTCATGGTGGGTGGGACAGACCAGGAGACTTCTGGCTTGTCAGTCAAGGTATGATGTCATGGTGGGTAGGACAGACCAGGATGCTTCTGGCTTGTCAGTCAAGGTATGATGTCATGGTGGGTGGGGATAGACCAGGAGTCTCCTGGCATGTCAGTCAAGGTATGATGTCATGGTGGGTGGGACAGACCAGGAGTCTCCTGGCATGTCAGTCAAGGTATGATGTCATGGTGGGTGGGACAGACCAGGAGTCTCCTGGCATGTCAGTCAAGGTATGATGTCATGGTAGGCAATACATATAGAACAGTTGTGAATGGGCCCTTGAGGGTTTGTCCACACCAGCAGCTGCACTGAATTCGCGGTCCCTGGTGTGCGCTGGGAGGGACATTGCAGAGGCACCAATCCCACTGCATTGATTTTTTTTCTTTTCTGTACAAACTTTATTGAAATGTCACGATGTCGGCACTGAAGTGCACGCTGTACTTCCCATCACACACCATCACAGCACGGAGGTGGCATGATAGGTAACAAGGTATTTGTTGGGATAGGCTGGCATTGCCCCAGTGCTCCTGGTGGGAATGGGCCCTATAGGCCCTGGGTTATATACAGCACCGTGCAGGTACCTACCGCGTGACAGGTTTGGGGTGGCCCTGAGCCTCGCACACGAGCTGCAGCGTCCGATCTTCAGAGTCCAGAGGAAAGACGATATTGGACGGCTCCTGGGTGAACACCGGGCCCTGCAGGGTCAGCTCATCTGCAAAGACAAAGGGGAACCATTTAAATTTTCACGTTAATATTGCACAGACAGAACCCATCCCCCGCAAAGACATATCAGCAATTACTGCGTGTCGAGCGACGGCGGTGATACGGCGACTCGGCCCCGCAGCGACGCGACCCCCCAGACCTCTCTACTACAGGAAGCACGGAGACATCTCCTGCGGTGTGAAGGTGGTGGAAGAATTCTGCATTTGCACATCGAATAAAACGTGTTGCGTCTCCACATATTTCCCAGTCTGCAAATTTCCAGATTTCATTTCATCTCGTCCTCGAAACGGAACGCAGAGCGGCGCGTCTGTTTACGCTGAATAGCTAATTCCCGGGGACCAAAAACAAAGATAATATATTCCTCCAATTTAGGCAGGAAAAAAAAATAAATAAATGAGGCGGATTAGCGGAGGAGACCGGCGCCAGGAGGAAACTGGAGGCTGCCAATGCTCTCCTCTCCTCCTGAAAATACTCATTTCCTGGCTCTTCTGATGAGAGGAGTTCCGGCATCACTTCTAATCGCTTTTAGTGTGCCAATGATTTTTTTTATTTTACTTCTGGCTGGAATTTGGCTTCAGATCTGGTTTGGGTGGAATAAATTATTAGCGAGAATTTTTGGTTAAAACAAAAAAAAAAAAAAAGCAGAAAAAGTGGGCGGATTGTTAAATACAGAATTCATTTTAAAAAAAGAGAGTGGAAAGTCTTTGTGAAGATTCCCTACGGCCACATTTCTCGTCCGGGGGGCCGCAACACCCTGGGGTGCCACGTGGGCTTGTTGGGCTGCACCCGGTATTACCATGGTGAGGGTGGGCCAATCACCAGCAACGTGGGAACATGCAATGCTAATCCAATGCAGGCAGCATTCGGAAGGGTAGTGGGACCAGCTCCGCCTCCTGCCCACTGCCATGCTGTGAAAGGTGAATGGGGGAGCAGACGAGGGACTGGGGACTATGATGTTCCAGAGAAAGACTGATGACTCTGCAGTAAAAGGGGGATGTGAGGACTCTGATGTGCAAGGAGGGACTATGATGTTCCAGAGGAGGACTGATGACTCTGGAGTAAAAGGGGGATCTGAGAACTCTCATGTGCAAGGGCAGACTAAAGACTATGATGTGAATGGGGGACTGGGGACTATGATGTTCCAGAGGTGGACTGATGACTCTGGAGTAAAAGGGGGATCTGAAGACTCTGATGTGCAAGGATGGACTAAAGACTATGATGTGAATGGGGGACTGGGGACTATGATGTTCCAGAGGAGGACTGATGACTCTGGAGTAAAAGGGGGATCTGAAGACTCTGATGTGCAAGGACGGACTAAAGACTATGATGTGAATGGGGGACTGGGGACTATGATGTTCCAGAGGAGGACTGATGACTCTGGAGTAAAAGGGGGATCTGAAGACTCTGATGTGCAAGGACAACTAAAGACTATGATGTGAATGGGGGTTTGGGGACTAAGATGTTCCAGAGGAGGACTGATGACTCTGGAGTAAAAGGGGGATCTTCAGACTCTGATGTGCAAGGGCAGACTAAAGACTATGATGTGAATGGGGGTTTGGGGACTATGATGTTGCAGAGGAGGACTGATGACTCTGGAGTAATAGGGGGATCTGAGGACTCTGATGTGCAAGGGCAGGACTAAAGACTATGATGTGAATGGGGGTTTGGGGACTATGATGTTGCAGAGGAGGACTGATGACTCTGGAGTAATAGGGGGATCTGAGGACTCTGATGTGCAAGGACGGACTAAAGACTATGATGTGAATGGGGGTTTGGGGACTATGATGTTGCAGAGGAGGACTGATGACTCTGGAGTAAAAGGGGATCTTCAGACTCTGATGTGCAAGGGCAGACTAAAGACTATGATGTGAATGGGGGACTGGGGACTATGATGTTCCAGAAGAGGACTGATGACTCTGGAGTAATAGGGGGATCTGAGGACTCTGATGTGCAAGGACGGACTAAAGACTATGATGTGAATGGGGGTTTGGGGACTATGATGTTGCAGAGGAGGACTGATGACTCTGGAGTAAAAGAGGGATCTGAGGACTCTGATGTTCAGGGGAGACTTAGACATCTGATGTGCAAAGGAAGACTGAGGACTGTGATGTGTGCAGGTGTGGGGGGTGTTAAGACTCTGAAGTGAAAGAGGGATCTGAGGACTCTGATGTGAAGGAGGGGGGCACTGAGGATTTTGATGTGCAGGAGGGGAATGAGGACGTTAATATAAAATGGAGGACTAAGGACTCTGCTGTAGAAGCGGGGAAGTGAGCATGAAACCGTCTGATGAAATGTGACTCTGGTCCTCTATGTACTGAGCGGCCTCCTTCCTCCCGGGACTCCGTCCATCCACTTCATCAGTGTGATTACTGCTCCGCAGGAAGGGTCAGGCCGGAGCTCCGACTCCATTCTCGGCTCTATGAATAAGTAATGGATGAAAGTGTTTCAGGTAAATAGTTACAGAGTCCGGAGGGGGGAGGGGAGGTCGTTCACCAAAGTAAACTTTCCGTAAATGGTTTCCGTATTCGGCGCTGTTTTCCTCGCCATCCGCAGCCGAGCGTTTCCGCTGGCCTGACCTTTACCTCCAGCGGGTCAGAGTCTTCTTGTCCCGGATTGCTGCATGCGCGGAAAGATGCAATAAATATGCAAAGCGCTCACTAAGCAGCTCGGCCGGCGATCCATCTCTGCGTCGGTATGAATGCGAGAAGATAATAATAGAATTCGACCCAAGGCTCCCCGATTGCCCCGGCAACCAATCAATACATCGTTATGGCGCTAATGACGGTTCAGGGAAGGATTAGGCAGAAGGAGCGGCATTTGGGGTTTTCCTAATAAAAGGAGGTCCGTCATTCGGAACGCTGGAGCTGCTTCACGGGAAATTCTGTTCTTTAAGAATGCGCCAAGTGAAAGCTAAGCGATGATGAATGCTCTGCTGGGGGAACGCACTGAACACAGATCTTCTCACTGTGATCCGGGCCCACCGGGACTTGTACGTGGTGGACTTTCACATTCGGAGTGTTGCTACACTTGCTTACAAATTACAATTGATCACGAGTTGCTGCGAATACAAGGAACTGCCGGCATGATGAGGCCAACATGGGAGTAATGCTGATACCTGAGTATGGAATTTGATGTTTACCTTCAGTGTACTGAGACAGTATGACCATACAATCGGATCACAGTACACAACGGCCTTCTTAGAAGATGTCTCAGTCCATCACACGGCCCAAAATATGAGGAGCCCTCCTACACCATGACATGGCCCAAAATACGGAGGAGCCCTCCTACACCATCACATGGCCCAAAATACAAGGAGCCTTCCTAGACCATGACATGGCCCAAAATACGAGGAGCCTTCCTACACCATGACATGACAAAATGAGCCCAAATGATAAAATACGAGGAGCCCTCCTACACCATCACATGGCCCAAAATACAAGGAGCCTTCCTAGAGGAGCCCTCCTACACCATCACATGGCCCAAAATACGAGGAGCCCTCCTACACCATGACATGGCCCAAAATATGAGGAGCCCTCCTACACCATGACATGGCCCAAAATACAAGGAGCCTTCCTAGACCATCACATGGCCCAAAATACAAGGAGCCTTCCTAGACCATGACATGGCCCAAAATACGAGGAGCCTTCCTAGACCATGACATGGCCCAAAATACGAGGAGCCTTCCTAGACCATGACATGGCCCAAAATACGAGGAGCCCTCCTAGACCATGACATGGCCCAAAATACGAGGAGCCCTCATAGACCATGACATGGCCCAAAATACGAGGAGCCCTCCTACACCATGACATGGCCCAAAATACGAGGAGCCTTCCTAGACCATGACATGGCCCAAAATACGAGGAGCCTTCCTAGACCATGTCATGGCCCAAAATATGAGGAGCCTTCCTAGACCATGACATGGCCCAAAATATGAGGAGCCTTCTTAGACCATGACATGGCCCAAAATACGAGGAGCCTTCCTAGACCAACACACACCACAAAATACAATTAGCCTTCCTAGACCATCACACGGCCCAAAATATGAGGAGCCTTCCTAGACCATGACATGGCTCAAAATACGAGGAGCCCTCCTAGACCATCACATGGCCCAAAATATGAGGAGCCATCCTAGAATATCACATGACTCAAAATATGTGGAGCCCTCCTAGAATATCACATGACTCAAAATATGAGGAGCCCTCCTAGAATATCACATGACTCAAAATATGAGGAGCCCTCCTAGAATATCACGACTCAAAATATGAGGAGCCCAGCCCTCCTAGACTATCACATGGCCCAAAATACAAGGAGCCTTCCTAGACCATCACATGGCCCAAAATACAAGGAGCCTTACTTGACAATCACATGGTCCAAAATATGACGAACCTTCCTAGACCATCACATGGCTCAAATACGGGGAGCCTTCCTTGACCATCACATGGCCCAAAATATAAGGAGCCTTCCTAGACCCCCTGATGGTACTCACAAAATCTTGCTAGGGCTTCCAATGGTACTCTCAGAATCCTCCTGGAATCCCTGCCAGGACTTCGAATGGTACTCTCCTGGAATCCATGCCAGGACTTCCGATGGTAGTAAAGGAGTCCCTGCCAGGACTTGCTATGGTGCTCTCAGAATTCCCACCAAGACGTCCAATGGTACTCAAAGAATTCCTGCCAGGACTTCTGTAACTTGGGCCCCCCACCCAAAGTGAGCTGTGTTCCATGGGCCCCCCACCCAAAGTGCGCTGTGTTCCACTGGCCCCCCACCCAAAGTGAGCTGTGTTCCATGGGCCCCCCACCCAAAGTGAGCTGTGTTCCATGGGCCCCCCACCCAAAGTGAGCTGTGTTCCATGGGCCCCCCACCCAAAGTGAGCTGTGTTCCACTGGCCCCCACCCAAAGTGAGCTGTGTTCCATGGGCCCCCCACCCAAAAGTGAGCTGTGTTCCATGGGCCCCCCACCCAAAGTGAGCTGTGTTCCATGGGCCCCCCACCCAAAGTGAGCTGTGTTCCATGGGCCC